GCGAGTCACCACTCACGTTTCAACCTCCAACCTGGAGGACCAGAACTGTGTTCGTCCGATCTCTGTTTATTGAAGGATCTGGTTTGAGAGGCTTTGTGACTGTGGCACGTAGACACCCTATTGTGACATGGGGTGCCTAGACCGTCGCACGGCGGTAATATCTAGTCTGGTAATGACTGAAAAGCTGGAAAGCACCTTTCTTTTGTTTCCTAACCCTAGGCTGCCACCTTGTGGTAGTCGAGCTTATGTGCTTCAATGATCCTGCGAGCTATACTGACCGAAACACTTCCTAAAGCTTCAGAAAGGGTAATGGAAAACAGACCGACGTAGGGAAGCGAGTTCTCCCTTCTGCGAGAAATCGTATTGTGAGGCAGTCTGGTGGTAACTTCAAACTGTCCTCTGCGATAGGCGTGCAGAAGCAGTAAGGCATTTCTTCTAAGCAGGAAACGTTTCGATATTTATGGAAACAACGATGCTGTCTTCCTCCGAAAAAGGACGAATTAGGAAATGTCGACCCTACATCCGCGCATTCCGGTCGCCCAGCGGTTGACTGTGACCCCTGGCGCATCATTCAGTACGGTCAAAATAATTCCACAACCAAATGTCTCAAAAGATGACTGCTGTGCGCAGCCGCATTAAGATTCCGCCGGTTATGACTTACTCCTCACGTTCTCGGGCCAGGCAAGGCTTCTCCATCCAAAAGGATCAGAATATTTAGTGGTAGTCTCCAGGAAAGGTAAGAAAAGAAAACCTCAAAAACCGCTGTCTCGAGGTTCAGATTTTTGAATCAGCGACTCGGGGGATGGTCCTCTACTCCATGTGCCCTCCTTTTGGGCTGGGCCAGGTTTTTGAGTTGAAGGCTGAAGGTGGGACACCCAAATCAAACCTTCTTTGGCCTGAGGATCCCTCCGTACGCTCTTCATTAACTGAATCCTCACAAATTCTCACACCTGCACTTCTGATTCATTTGCTGTCAATCACCAAACAATTGCTTCGTATCTAAGCTTCTGTCCAGTAAAATAAGTAGAAAAACCTTTATTATCGAAATACACTCATTTGCAAACCAATGTTGTTTTACGAAATATCCACGAGGATCCCGGCTAAATATCTTGTTTACGATGTTTTTAACCGGTCTTGGCTTTTGGAAAATTTTCAGCAACCTTGTGAGTGTGTATTACGTCTATACGTGTATCTTGATGTCTGAACCAACTGAAACATGTGACGGCCTGGTGCAGCACATTCAGTTGCTTAAAAATCACGAACGAGCGATCCACTGGGTTCCAGGTTAGTCTCGCAAAACCAAATTGGTTTACAAATGAGTGTATTTCGCCAATTCCGTGCAGTTTGGGTTCAAGTAGAACATAGGGTTGACGGGAACTCAGGGACTGCGCCTACCTGCTGAGCCCCAAGAAGAGCTAAGCCGGCAATGGGCTGTTGAAGAGTTTTCAGGAACCTTATGAGCAGTGTATTACGTCTAAACCTTTATTGTTGCGGCTTTTAACGTGCGTCCGGTAGTTTTTGCTAGGACCTTGTTCCCTGTACTGTCTACGAAGCACTGATACAAGACCCCAGTTCGGTTATGCTCCTTAAACCATTCGGTCCGATCGCACATTTCTTGCACTTTTCTCTTCGGGTGTCTGGTGATTCTAACGCAGTGGCTGAGAATGTACGGTGTGGGAGTTGTGTCGAGCCTTGGGGCTAGTTGCGCTTCATTGGACTGAGTCCCAGTTAACATTCAATTAGGTTGACCGAGTCAATCAAGATCAATGGATTTCGACGCGACAAACGGTGTTTGTTTGTTGTGTCAGCACATGCCACGACGGACGGCAGCTCTCAGCCTGGGGAAGACAGCTTTTACAGTGGTTTGTCACGTTTGCTCTGGTCAACGAAAAGTACAAACATCGTGATTATGGTAGCCGATGTGAATGACCAAGTCGGCTGATTAGATGCTGGGTAAGTCAATCTTGGTGGCGATTCGGGGTGTCGCTCACAGCACAGATAATGGGGAGCGAATTATTCAGTTGTTTGTTAGATATAACTTATTTCTACTCGGTGCAGCTTTTCAACACAAGCGCTCGGACCTTATGTCTTGTAGGCCACTAAATGCGAACCAGCAATGGGCTCGGTTGGATCATGTGGCAGTCAGCTACTGGTGGAGAGCTTCGATACAGAAATGTCGCTCATTTTGGATTAGACCCCTGAACCCCGACTACGGGCGGTACGCGTATCTATTCGCTTTCCATCTAAGGCGTCGTTTGGTGCCACATGCAAAGCGTCTTTGTAACCCAATAATACTTGACTGAGAAGCTTCCAGGACCTGACGAGCACAGCGGTGAATCTGATGGCTATCGGAAAAACATGAAATCATTCATGCTCACAGCCTTTATAACCGTCTACCCGAGGTCGCTCATACGCTTTAATGGATCTCGTCACGGTCAGAGGCTCTGATTGAAGCTGGGAAAATCACCAGCATCAAATGACTGTTATGGCAGGCGTAATTCCCTCAATTGCTGAATATTGCAGGACTTGAGGATCAAAGGAATGTGCCAGGGGATCACAAAAGCCCAGGAGGTGGAGAAGGCTCTTGCATTAGGGAGCAATCATGCTCTGTTCCAGGTAATCTGACCGAGGTGGATGGGTGTCAGTGAAACGGTTTCCGTAAAGGATGGGACCTGAATTCATTCGCAGAAGTATGGTTTTAAACAACGAGCTGAACATTTTCCTAAGAACCTTCCTCCAAAGTACATGAACTGAGGAAAGAATGCTGAGTCTCGTGTGAACAGCAAATCGAATGATTTTCGGAGAAAATAACTCGTCCACGATAGATGAATTGATCACACTCCATAGGTTGCGCTGATTTCGTCACGTCCTCCGTATGCCAGTCGACCGACTTCATCGAAAAGCCCTTTTCGCACCACCGCACGAAGGGTGGAAACAAGCCAAGGAAGGTCAAACACTAACTTGGTGCTGAAGTGAGAAAGCCATTAACAGCAAATTCAGCTGCCGTCATTACCCCGGATACGGTTAGAGGTATTATGAGACATGGATGAGCCACGTCCTCAGTGGCGCTCATGAATCCAAGCCGCTGCCATCAACGCACAGCTCCCACCGACCTCCCCAGTGTAAAGTCCACTGGCAAACCTGCATTTACCCATCAATTGTATCAGCTACCGCCCCCGATACGCAGCTGTTTATCCTACCTCCCCAACTCATCGGCAAATGAAATTGACAGCCATGGGTACTGTACGATACTAAGCGATTCTTAAAGCTGATGATGATGGTGACCGAAGCCACTGTTTATTCCCGTATCCAAAGAAGGTGAAAGAGTATCCCGTGAAAACATTTGGGGCATTAGCATTTTTCCCATAGCTTCCGGTAAATAAAATAATCGTTCGGTGCCATAAGAAGGAAGCACAAGGTATGGGATACTGCCAGGTTGCCCAAGCCTTGTCAGGAAGGGTCGAGATGCAAAGGTCGGATTCGAACCACGGACCTTCCTTTCAGTACATTCACGCTCTAACTGCTGACCCATCTCGCCCAGTATGTTCTCAGTTATTGTCCTTGGAAGGTTGGTCCATCGTCAAGACAGTCGGATGCGCGACCATCAAGCTGGGTTGCATTGATCGCCTGTTCCGACGACGATCAATGATCGTCCTTCTCGATCTCAGATCTCTTTTTACTCCATTGATCTCCAAAAACTGTGACAGTGTCTTGCAATGAAAGTGGCTTCTTCTAAATCCTTGTCTCTTATTAGGACTCCATATGCCTCTCGTAGACGCTTACATATCTGTGGCAGATTCTCTCGTAAGTTCTTCGCACCCTGTGTTATCATATAACCTAAATAATTCTGCTGCCAATTATAAAGTGTTACTACAATATTTGGTAGGATGGTGAGATGGCTCAATGGATAGAGCGTGAATTTACTGACCGGAAGGTTCGTGATTCGAACCCGACCTCTGCCTGTCGACTTCCCTTGTCTAGGCTTGGGCTACCTGGCATTATCCCAGCCCTCGTGCCTCTTTTGGGTGGCATGGCAGCTATGCACCGAAAGGGTGGTACAGCTGAACGATTAATTATTAATTTTTAGCCGGATCAAACCTCCTAGTTAGACCAACCGACGTGGTAGATAAGTCAATCTACTTGGGCAGCTGCACATGTCCCGGCCAACTAACGAAAGGCAAGACTACTTCCTCATTTGGGAAATTTGTGGCATCGTTCGTCAAGCTCCGATATTTGGTGCGTCTACGTGATATCAGCTTGACTGCTAAGGATAGAGCGCACAATGCCGCAGTCTTATCTGTCCTACTTTACGGGTCGGGTACGTGACCGGTGCTGTCTGTGTTTGACCATCGCTGTACCTGTATCGTGAGAATATCAATTGCTTTTCGAGAAAGTTCATTCTCCTGCAACAGACCACCTGGTCACACTCCACAGGCTATTCTAGGTAAGTTATATCTAGCCTTGTCCGACGAGGACGACCCAGAGGCGGTTAGTCCATGACTTGACAACCAAGCATGAAAGCCCTTGCCAGTGGAGTCAGTCGCGCTGGTAACTGTCGTTACACAGACCAATGGTTGGTGACCCTAACACACGGCTGTCATCCGGTCAGCGACGGTCTTGAATCGAAGCTGTTGCCTTCTCTGTGTAGCTCTCACTTCCTGCCGTACTAGACAAGCAGGTCTATTTGTCGTCAGTGCACAGATTCAGCCATCCTCCCCAACGTGACTTTCTTATTACCTTATCCTTATCCTTGATGAGTGAAAATATACGGTTGGAACTGTTATATTGGATCAACGGTTTGTGAGCTGAAGACGAAAGAGAACTGACTCTGTGCGGTTTGAAATCAGTGTTCAACTCTCTGTCTTCAAAGAACGGTCACCGTAACGGACACGGTAGAGCAAACTTTTGTGGTAAGCTCCACATTTTAGTGTTGTTTCCTTCTCATTACAACTAAGCCTAATTCTCTCGACCTCCTTTGTCACCGTCTACATTTTCCTTTCAGTTACAAATATCAGTATTTTCAACGATAATTCTCTGTGCTTACGGCACCTACTACTTTACCACACCAGATTCTTTCTGACTCACGGCATTGTTCGGTAATAATGACCATTGCGGAATCCAGCCGGTCGATGGAAGAATTATTTGACTTATTTTGCACTGCCAACTCATTTTCAAGCATTCTACAGCATTTCAATCAACTGTGTGCTGTCACAGTAAGAGCCTCGACTGCCAAGCATCCGTGGAATGTGTATCGCGAGTTAAGAGCCAGCCTTAAATCCTACTGGAAGGCTGCGGCATTGTTCGAGAAACTTGACAAGCGGGTCCAATGTGCGGAATACATGCAACAAACCGCTTGCAATGGAGTGAATGTAAGAACTTTCAGTTTTCTCTGTTGTTTAGTGTAGTGGTGGTAGGAATATGCTACATCTCCGTGACAACCACAACTTAGGAAATAACTTCTAACATTAGTTGTGAATGTTGGCCTTGGATTCACGCATATTCATGTGTGCCGATAGTTGCGCATATCTTTTCTGTGCATCCTTGTGTGTGTGTGTGTTGTGCATCCTTGTCATCTATGTCACCCATTTATTATACACTACTTAGACTTATCCACTGTGGTAGGTAGGTTTTCCCCCATGCCGGAGTGTGCATTTTTTCGAGTTCATGTTATCTCCCAAACAAAATACCTTCCGTGAGATTTGGATCCCTCGTCTTCTAGAGGACTCGAACGTAATGTATCTTGTGTTTTCCGTCTGCTATAATTTGTGGCGATTGTCTTCGATTTGCGAGTGAACCATATTTGGTAGTGTCGGGTTGCGGCAACTCAAACATGCTTATCTGAATCGAACTCTACGCATTGTCTGATCCAGCCGTTTGTCCATTCACGTGCAGCTTGCTAAACTCAGCTCTGATTGTACTGGGCCAAGCTAACAGTAAACATGAATATGAAATACTCGTGTTCCAGTGTGCTGTTCACAGAGCTTTCCCTCAACCTGAGGTAAACTCTGAAAGTTTTGCCTGTCTTCATGTATGTGAATTCATCATCAGATGCGTATGTGTATTACTTGGGGCGAGATGGCTCAGTGGTAAGAGCGCGAATTTACTGACCCGTGATTCGACTTCTCTTGTCTAGGCCTGGGCATCCGGGTAGTATCCCAGCCCCCGTGCTTCCTCCTGGTGGCGTGGCATTGAAAGGGTGCAAATAATTAAATGAGTATGGCTTACACATTGGCTATGCGAATGTGTGCACCGTGCTGGGTTAGTTTCAGTTTTTTTGTAGAAAGTGGCACTTACTAGGATTTTCTTTCAATGTTGTTCCTAAACGACCTCTAGTTTGTGTTCGTTCGTGGCCAGACATTCTGAAATAAACCAAACCAAACTTAACCATCTGAGGCGTCCTTTATCCCAGGTTATCGTGGTTGGTTGTGGTCCATGTGGTCTCCGTTGTGCCATCGAATTGGCTCTTCTTGGTGCTCGAGTGGTTATCCTCGAAAAACGTGATAAGTTTTCAAGGTGAGTTTCAACGGTGCTTATTTATTTTATAGAAAAGATGAGATGACTGTTGGATTCCCGCAGACGGTTGGACGAACAGTTTACTCCAGACCGTATTCGCTTGATATGTTTATTCAGATGTGTGCGTTCAGCTTTCGTTCTTCGATTTGCTACTTAAAGATATTTAAGAGGATCTACATATTCACAGTCTGTAGTGTACCAAGTAAACTGATGTTACTCTGATTCCAGTTATTTGGGTTTTAGACCTTAATGAACTGGAATTTGCACATTCAGTTCCCAAGTCTTTGTCCCCAACTCTTTATTTATTTCACAATGTTTATTTCATAATGATCTAATTGGCCCTTAGTTCTTTGGTCTATTTACTTAACTCTGTTCACGATATCGACTAACTTTCAATCCTTATTAAAGTCGTCAGGTGGTGAGCGTTCAGCTTGAGGCCTCTGAACTTCATTATTTAACCAGTGTTAAATTCTTAAAGTGTCAGTAGATAACCCGATTCAACTACATGCAGCTTGTTAGTTCTGCTGATGGATAACTTGGTAAATTCTTGTATGTATTTTGCAGACGAAATCTGCCTCCATGCTTGCCTATCACTTTACTTAACCCCATTTAGCGCACTTAAGGCCATATGTCTTTTTTATAGCTGCACCTGACGGTACTTTATCCAGGTCATTCCTCTAAAACTGCACACAGCCAGACATAACATTGTGTAGTGTTATTGAACCGTGAAGTTTTGATCGCTAGAACCAGACATCATACAATCACATGTAAGGGGAAAAACGCATGCAGCTCTGAGGTGTCATGTCTGATGCTAAGCTTATATGTTGTTTATGTCGAATCCAGTTGTTTGCTAAGTTGATCGGTGCTTTACCAGCCTGTCGGAATAACTCCCAGTTCACTATACAAGACTGCCCTCTGTTTCACCTACTACTTGTCAGCCGTAGATTTTTAAGGTTTAAGACGGTAACTTATTAGCCGGACACCCAAATCCGTCATCAACTAAGGTGCTGCCAGGCCGTCGACACTACCCCCCTCGATTCTAACACTCATCGCTCTCCTTTCACTTATCGGAATGCAGAAACAATGTCCTTCACCTTTGGCCTTACTTGATTGATGATCTGCGTGCCCTCGGTGCGAAGACATTTTTCGGGAAATTTTGCGCCGGTTCCATCGATCATATCAGTAAGTTGCTGTGATGTTTGTAAAACCCCGCAACAAAGAAGCATACACCCGTACACAAACAAACACAGTGTGGTGCATTTGTGTACTTAGTCGTGTGTTACACACACGACCTTAACTATATCCTACTCACTGTATCACCCACCCTTAGCAACGCTGTAGATAACGTGTCCTTTACAGAGTCAAGCGTATGCGCCACGGCGTTTGGGTGTGATCTATTGTCCTGACGAAAACTCGCGTTTTCAATCATGGTACCATAGTTTGTCGATATATCATGCACTCTCTGGTTGTCCGGCATTTGGAATGCCACACACACACATACCCACGATAGAATCACACGGCGAGTCAACATAGTTTGTCAATAGCTGAGGGAACAGTCAGTGGACCGAGTGCTAGGTACTTTAATTGTCCCACCAGCACACTCAGTTGGCTTTTCTGGGGCCACGCCGAAGCCAGGGTGCTGTACGTGGATAATGATCGGAACTCGTGCCATTCGCCTGAGAGCCGTGCTGACCATTGCTAAGGTTTTGGGCGCGCGCCAGAAGAATGGAAAGCTCGAAGATTTAGGGCCTAACCAACCTTTCCGATGGGACAATCTATGGATATTGAACGTGGCTATTCCTGCTGGGACGGTCGAACCCTACCCCATGACTCGTTAACCTGCTTATGGAAAATCCGGTTGTCCGTTGGCATTTCATCAGGGTATGCTGAAATTTCTCAGCCTGAGCGGATTACACACTGCAATACTCTTACCACGGTAATCCCACACTAGTGATCTGTATGCTACTCGAATACGGACCACAAACGTTTTTCGAAACAATATATCTGAATGTTGCAGCCAAACAGCTGCAATTACTATGGTACGTCTCGTTTTATCATGGTTGCTTCGTTGCTTCTAATCCATTCTTATGTGTTCCACAGTGTTGCTGCGGTCAAACCAGATCCCGTCCAGAGGAACTCATCTTTGTCGCGGGATAGCGTAATGCCAGGGTCAGTGGTACTAGTTAATTAAGTCGAAGACAAAAGAGTATTGATAGATTAATGTTTTTTTATATGGAACATGGAAGTTTTTTGTTGCTAGCTCAGGGGGATGTTCCCTAGAAGATGCGTTTCTCTGACAAATTTATTTGAAGGATATTATGGATGGAAGTCAGGCGTAGCCATCGGACATTGACATCCCAAGATCAGTTTATGCTTTTAGGTTCATCGAATTTGCAGCACCAATCGCAAATTGCTGAATATCTTGAGAGCAAGGACGGGACCCCACACGTGCTTATCGAGTACAGACCTTTTCTGTCTTCATAGACCCAAATATTGGGCTTGTTTGCTGTCTCTGCTTATTTTCCTTGTTGTGGATGAAGCAATCTATCCTAGCTTGAACCATCGGAACCTTGGTGCCCATTTCTTGGCTGAATAACTGACCAGCTGATTGATGGGTTTGGTGGCAATAAGAGCGAGCTAGGCGTTCGAGGTCCTGCTGTGCTTTTCAATACTATAAACAACGGTCGCCGCGCAACGGTTTAGAAATAAATCCTTAGTTCCAAATGTTGACCGTCAAAACCGAATGAGTATTCATATGAGTGTATTTCACTAGTAGGTCGAAATATGTTTGGATGAAGGGATTTGAAACACTCAGGTTTCTTTGTGTAGGAAACATCGATTCCAACGCAAAAATGAGGGTTGCAGTTTGTGTGTGTGGCGTGATATTGCAAACATTCCTATGTGTTGCTTGTCTGGTTCTATTCTCTTATTTGACCTTTGCTTTTAAATGTTCTGTCTGTCTGTCACGAATGTATAGTAAATCTTGGACGCAAGTAAGATCCTTTTGTATGATCAACTGGCTTCTCCGATCTCATTGTTTTCACGTCCTGCTCGTCCTCAGTGAACGTAAGTGGAACTATCAACCTACCTAGAGTCCTTGGTTTGTAGCTGGTAAACGAAACTAACCTGAACCGTATTAATTTAACGGTGACATAGTTCACAGTTCAGCCGTCAGCCGGACTGTCATAGCAGTTGTGAAAATAAAGAACGGGAGGTCGCTGAATTCTCTTGTGACTTCGTAATTTGACTCTTCCAGTTCGTCACAGTTAACGTAATAATGCAGTTGATGTAAGCCGTCTAATGTTATACTTGCATTAGCTTGACAGTTTCACCCTTTTTGCTACTGCTCACTGGTCAGCTTATCACTACTTGAAATCCTAAGGCTACTTTGTTTGTCCACTTGTATAGATGTTGCTTAACTGTGAAGTATGCAGGCCGTGGGCAAACTCCAATCTAGTCGGTGATAAGTCCGAGTGATGCCCTAAATACCCTAAATTTGGGACTAATGGTGATGGGAACATCAGTATATGTAGACATAAAGCACCGCTCATGAGGTTGCTGAAAACACTTCGACTGCCTACGTTCGGTTACGCCCTTCTTGGGGCTCATCCGGTAGGCGCAGTCTTCGAGCTCCCATTAATAATCCTATTTTCTACTTGAACCCAAATAGCACGGAATTAGCGATAGCTCACTGTCTAAGTTTTGGAACCAAAACTTTTCGAAAACTGGACGCTATGTGCTCAGAAAAGTCCCACCATCGTGTAGACTTTTCCATTTGAAGCCTGGGTTCAATGAGCCAACCAACACTGGGTTACGTAGCATGAACCGCGCGATTAATAAATTAGTAGCGGGTGAGAGTTCATCACACTGATTCTTAGCAGCTCCTAGTTGAACGATACTATCCAAACCCGTACTCAAGGGGGGTTCGAGTTAGAATTTTCCCCGTGATAATTACCCTTTTTGGCTCGTAAGTTCACTCAGATTCGAAGCCAAAGTAATATAATTAATCAATCAAAACGTCGAGACTAAAAGAGGGCCTAGTTGGTTCTCGGAACGTCTTACACTTAGCGTTTGTTATCTCCCAAGCACTCACTCTACCGTGGTGGTGGGGGTAGGTGATTTAGTAAAGATGACGGAGAAGAACTTCATCTAAAGCTCTCTCTTGGTGAACTGTCCGGCCTGGGCTTTTTGGCACAAGAACGCTTACGTTCGGATTCAGATATCTCATTACAAGAGATGCTGAAATCTTAACAGGCAGATTACATGAATGCTCGATGATGCCTCGGTTGAACACAAATAAGGAATGAGCGAGCTAAAGGACTTATACGAAAGCGAAAAACATCAAAACCAAGGAAGCATTACACGAAGCCAGTTATTCAATCACTATGGAAAGCCCTTTTGTTCACTTACGTTAACAGCGCGTACCATTAGATGGGTCGGGATCACACCACTGTTCTAGCAGGCGTGCACGAGTGAATGAGCGTGGAAAAACCGATCAACCGACTGATTCTTCTGACCGATGCAGTAAGAAAACAAGCTGATTTTTGTAGTTATAGCGATCGAGTTCCGATTTATCTCGTTGTTGACGAAAGTCAGTACACCCACCACTCAAACAACTAACGAGGCTTTTCGGATTCACTGCGAAAATTCCATTTCTTATGAAGATCTTAATTCTCCCCCGTTTTGTTGCATCACTATCCTCCCCCAGGCATTCGAACTCTTCAGTGTATTTTGCTCAAGGCCGCCCTACTATTTGGAGTTCAAATTTTTCCCGGTGTGACCTATCATGGTCTTGTAGAACCGACTTCGGGTGAGTTCTATTCCTATTGCGCATATTGTTTACTTTTATCAGTGTTATTCTGAAGGTCGAATGTGAGTGCAGTGATGGTCGTTATTAGATACGAAGCAAACCTTCCAAACAGGCCCGTTTTTGGTTTATGTTACACTGTAAGAGATAAGGTGCGGATGGTCCACTAACCTGATACTATACTTACTTGTCTGTTGCTTTGTTTGCCTAGACGTGCGATATGATTGCAATAGCTTCGTCACCCCCCAAGTGCTATCTTCCGCGTTTTATTGCTGGGAGCGTTAATACAGAATCTGTTCACCCAGACTTAGCTCGATTCGGTCAGGGTACAGCTGTCACCGATCGAATGTGTTTCCTTCGTACATTGTACGTGCTGCCTCTCTGGTCGCTACGAGCTTACTGACTGAGTTTGTGCAAGGCAGACCTCAATTGAGCTGTATGAGGACTGTCTACTGAAGATGCTCTGGCAGCAAGAATTCGAAAAAGGACAGAAGCGCGAGTCTGAAAAGCCCCGGATATATCTATAATATGAATGCCTCTAGTCAAGACACAGAATTGCTGATTTTCTTGGACCTAGTTATAGCCCGTGCAACTGTCGCCCATGCAGAGGGGGAAGTGAATCCAACCAACGTTGAATTATTCCCTACACATGTGCTTATCTATGGATTCTTCGTTTCCGTTATCAGTGGAATTCGATAGACAAAAGTGTCCGAAAAGGGTACATTTATTTAGTCTATCGCATGTAAGTCTCTCTCTCTCTCTCAAAGTGAAATCATCCCTATGTTATAATAATATAATAATATCAATCTATGAGCAGTCTGAACTTCAGAATGAACATCAACGAATTGTCGGAAGGAAAATATGTCCTTTGTGGGGAGGTGTATCAGCGTACGGAGGAACTGAGATCGCCTTGCGAAGGATTCACTTAAGCTGAGCTCGAAGCATGACCTTTGTGAGGAAGGAAGAAAGTGGCTTCAGGAAATGCGCGTTAATCTTATTAGGTATTTTTTGCATTCGTTTTATCATAACGGATTAACTTAAGGGCTCTTGTTGCGCACATCTGACACAACAGTCCCTTTTGGCATGTCTCGGGGGAAGATAGATCACCCACAAGGGTCGTTCTGCATGGGACGAACTGGATTAACTATGGTTCCTTCTTTTAGCAGACACAGTTGAACACTGCTGTCGCTTTGAGGCTTAAGTAACGTTAAGAGTCTTTCGTTCTAGCGGAAATGACTCAGCGAAACTGGTCCGTGGAAATGTATAAATGCGTTTTCATGTGCATTCATTATCACGCCTTTGTTGATACGGCGTAAGTGGATTTCTTAAATGAGATGAACGCGGCAAATAACTGACTGTAAAGACAGGCCCCCGTTTCGTCACCATTCTGTTGCAACGGATGAACTAATTAAAGCTCCTGGCGCCTCATTGCATCGGGGTGTAGAGTATTTTACTAGAACGATAACCATTATGTTATTTTGCATTATGCTGAGTGCTTTACCCGGAAGTGGTTTCCATACAGAATCTACCTCTTTTCATCAACGAAAAATTGCAAGAGCACTAAAATAATCGCTTCAAGTAATGACAGTCTTCGTTGCCCGGACCTTGCAGTGGGTAACCAGAACTGAATCGAACGTTCGATCCATTCCTTGGGGCACACCATATTTATCTGCCAGACTGGGGTGGTGGCCATCACGACTCTCCTGGTCTCGCAACTCCGGGTTCGAATCTCGGTTCCGGCGTTAGTCATTTGGGAGAGGTTACATGTCTATGGCTCAAGTGGTTAGAGCGCGAATTTACTGACCAGAAGGTCCGTGGTCCGAATCCGACCTCTGCTTCTCAACTTCCCCTATCTAGGCTTGGGCCACCTGACAGTATCCCAGCCCTCGTGCATCCTTCGTGTGGCATAGTAGCTAGGCACCGAAAGGGCGCTACAGCTGAACGATTATTATTTTATTACATGTCTGTCCCCGCGAAACTCCCATATAGAGCTGGTTCGTCCTGTTAAGAGTCGATCAGAGTAGCATGCAGCTTTGAAAAAGTAGACAGCTTCGGTCTCTTTGGAGCGGCTGTTGTAGTAGCGAGCGACGTATTCCCGTAGAGCCGATGGTTTCCTGGAGCGTGCCACATACATCACCCGAACCAGAAGTTTTACAGCCTCATGAGTTTAAGCATACTTCTTCACATTTGGTCTACTGCAGAATTTTCTGTCTCGTTTGCAAGCGTTCTTCATGAATTCAGTTGTCTGTTTACACACACACACAACGCCAATATTTCTGCTCCTTGGTAACCAACCATACCGTCAGTAGTGTGATGGCGCTGTTCTTGACTACTTGCCAAAAATAGTCCTATGTATTACATTGATGATACGGTTATTTCTACCTTAGTCATCCTGTCCTATTGTTTGAAGGTTCAAGCATCCGTTACCGTGAACGAAACTGCTGAACCTACCTACTATGGGACTAACTCACTCTGACCCCCCTCTTTATACAGCGTACAAGCACATTACACAAACGGCAATGTGCAGAATTGAAAAACCGACTCGGTTTTATCTAACGACCCTATTTTCAATGACTCCCCCCTGATATAAGCGTTTAGTGGGAAACCTATAGCTATTCTAAAATTTCGTTTGTCTGACTCCTCACTCCTTATCCGATTACATCCATTCTTCTCTCCTGTGTACGTGAATCTCTTTTCGCACTGAATCCCGGTTCATCGACTCGATTCACCAGGTCCTTTTTCGTGCTGATGGATCTGTTTTTTTTTCTCAGTGAATTTTTCTGTTTGCTTGATCCGGATAACGATGGTACGGTGCGGTACCTAGAATTTTGAGTTTTCGCATGGCAGTATTATCTATATAGACTGCAAATGGACTTGCGAAGTTTTTTACTTACCATGCGTCAGTTGCCACGTCCCCGTGTCCTACACGTCAATGTTGCTGTCAGATATCTTGAAGATAAGCTGATGAAAAGGTTTTGTTAAGTCACTATGGCGTTATCTGTCACACTTTGATGCATCCGGTAACATCCGTAGAGGAATGCAATATTAATGCTGTATGTATATTACCGAGATACGAAAGTTCTATTGGCTCTCGAATTCTTTACATAGGGGTCCATTGCCCATGTCCGCCATATGAAATTTCGATCATACCCTAATCCTCTTGATACGCTAGATGCGCACGGTAATCATTGACTTTTATCTACTGGCATCAACGTGGTAGAGAGTGCAGAATAGTAGCTTAACTTAGCTTATTTGAACCGTAAAGTGAGTTCAGTTTGTCTTCATGAAGGAAACTATTCACAAGGTTACTGAAAACTCTTCGACAGCCCACGACCGGTCTCGCCATTCATGGGGCTCCTCAGCTAGGCACAGTCCCCAATTTTCCACCATCCTTATGTTCTACTTGAACTCAAATTGCCTGTGTGCAGCACAATCAGTTGTAGAACATCATAAACGAGAGATTCGGTTGTCTCTCGTGAAAACCAAATTGAGTTCAGTTTGCTTTACGATTCCTACCTTGGTCATCCTATTCATTTAAACTGACAAACACGGTGTCAATGTTTGCGCGTGGGCTTTGGAACTCCTTCAAAGTTTTAATGCGTTGCGAAATTACATCATTAGGCCTCGCTGGTAACCAGAACTGTCATCTAGTTAGCATTGATACCAGTTTACAGTCAGTACCCCTGTTGGATCACTGTGCTGGTGATACACGTTGTATCCTGTTACATATATACCTTCCACAAGAACCGTTTGTATACTCGGCTTCCTGCTGGAAATTCCAAGCCTCCATACGTGTTCGGTGACCTGCTTGCATAAAACGCCACATTCCTCACTTTAAATTCCATTTCTCAAATAGAAATTTCAATCAAACAATGGTTTTCTAAGCTGTCTCTTCGGTCCACATGACTTTCAACAGATCGTATGATTGACAGGCACGTGTTAAGAGTGTGATTTGCTTACATCTTTTCGATGTACGTTCAGTGTTTACGCGTTGAATTCGTTGACTGTAAGGGCTGTAAGGGCACTTTCAGTCCATATGGCGAATAGGCTTGTGGATACCTTTCCTGTCATTGCGAGAATTTACTTTTGGCAACGCTCTATCGGCCCTAATCGCCGTTCCACTTGGCTCAAACGCTACCCCAACCGCCTCGGGTTACCTAACATTCTAGGCCCCTGGTCAACTGTGTACATTTGTGAGAGGTCTTACTGCAGATTGTCTTATTACACTGTGTATCTGTAAAGAAATTCAGATTTCCTGTTTATTAAAAGTAAAACAAAATTGACAGGGCGACATTGCCTCCCATTTTTTTGAAACTACACTACTTCTATTCAAGTTACTTAAGCAGTTAATAGTACTGTTTAAGAAAACCACTGTAAACGGATATTAAAACCGAGCTACACATTTTACTACTGACAGTGTCAATGCCCGTGAGGGTTCGACACATGTGGTTTGAGTATTTGAATACTGGTCGGGGGGTTGTGAGGGACACTTAATCTACTTCTGGTATTGTGTACTACTGCTTATCAAAACGCAGTGTGATGAAGCAACTGAATGTTGATTTTTTGTATCTTTGCCAGGAAACGCAAACTATTTGTTGATTCCTTTGCGTGTTCTACTGCACATTTTTCTACTCAAGGGACCAAGTTGTTTATGGAAACTGACATCCTTTAGAGACTAGTGGAGAGCAATGTGCTAATGATTAGTCTAGTTTTTCGTTCGTTCAGTTTCATTCCTCATGAAAAATTGTCTTAGGACATCTCAAACGCGGTCTCCTATGAGGTGTGTTCACTAGTTTGTCGCTTTCAGGTTGAATTTGTGTAATTTTCGCACGAGCAGTCACCTAAATAAACCACTAACTAAAAGCTTTCTCTGACTCACATTTTACAGAGTCATCTACGATTGTCAGTGTGGGCACACCGACCCGTATATTTCTTGACCCTGAGGATCCAAGAGATACGAAATCGATCCACGCAACACGTCAGCGTTTTCGGAACGGTGAATCGACGGAGAAGAGATCAGCTGAAAATACTCCCATTGGTAACCAAAATGGGCGAGTGGTTCATTCGGGATCCGTTCCAGTCGGATGGCGAGTCCATGTGGAGCCAGAAGTGAAGGTCTTACAAAACTATGAAACTGACGTACTCATAGGGGCGGACGGCAAGCGCAGTTGCTTAGGTGAGAATGTGTTTTCGCTTCCTTGGACGGTTGGTCTCATTGTTTTGAGAATAGGCGCCCACCCACCCATCTATTTGACTCTTCTGGTGTATTTCCTAAAATTTCCCCTGTATCTTCTGCTCCTACTTTATGGCATCTGATTGATCTTTGGTGGATTATCAATACAGAGTGACCTAGTGTGGAGTGTGGCCGCATATCTGGTTCGGTCGCACCATGGGAACTGAAATTTTGGTCATGTTCCTCCGTACCGTTTCAAATCGTGTGTCCAGTGTGCTTTGGACTAATGTTACAGAGCACTGCAAAGAATACAAATTGTAAGAAAATGTATGCATCAAAAGGGCGAGATGGACCAAGTGGTTAGGGGAGGTCCGGACCGGAAGGTCCGTGGTTCGAACCCGACCTCTACCTCTCGACTTCTCCTGTCTAGGCATGGGCAACCTAGCAGTATCCCAGCCCTCGTGCTTCTTTCGTATGGCATGGCGGCTAGGCACCGAAAGGGTGTTACAGCTGAACGATTTCGATTTCGATGCATCAAAGATTATAACGTATGTATACACTGACTGCAATGAAATGCCCATGTTTGGGTGTCTGTGGTCACTGGTAATAGGAGGGACAATAGTTTTCTCACACTTACCGTGGAGAAACGCAAATAATTTGCCTAGCTTGACCCTTGCGATTGTATCTGGCACGGAACGTCGATCGTCATTTTTCTTAAGTTTGTCCGTTTGTTCTCATCCCTTCAAAATTGCTTCAACAACGGATAGAAGGAAAATCAGGCTGTACTGCTGGGGCTCTTATCTAGGTTTCAAACAAGATTTTGCATCGATTCTATCTTCGGAAACTATTGCCTTCTGCTGCGTTGAAATTGTTTGTTCGACCAACACTCTAGCAGCGTTTTCCATCGACTCAACTGCTCGTTCGCATTCGAGTTCATTGAGACAGTACTGTATATTCGCAATGGGTCAGTGTCATTTGGATGGACAAGCTCCACTCGTCTTTCTATTGCTTGTCTGACAACAGATCTGTTTTCAACCCATAAATCACGATTGTTCGAAATCGTTTTCATTTAAGGGTCTGTTTAAAGTATCCGTGCCGAATTCGGTCAAATAGCTTGTGTGTTTGTATCCCTTATTTCGTTCCTGATGAGGTAACCAGAGTGTTGAACAACAAGAATTCCGTTTGCTTTCCACACACTATGCTAATCTTCTTAACTCGCCCAACTACAGTGCCTCTTCGCTTAATGACGAAAAATAGACGTGATCGCACGTCTATTTCGCAGCGGAATTGATGCACTGGAAACGGTTCATCTTCGGCTACTTCATCACTCTTAAGATCAGTTGCTCAACTTTTATGCTAAGTGTCACATTGTGTTTTAATGCGGTTACTATCCAACGAGCGGGAGAATAGATTTGGAAGATTCGCATTGTCCCTCAGGTAAAAATGTCCACCAGGATGACAGTGTCCACTGATCCTAATCGTTGATTCTAGCCCCGTTTCCCGCTTGTGGTGATGATCAGCTACATGGTACTGACAATTGTTTCATAAAGCTATCTTGACTTCATAAGTTTACTATTTTGAAACACCCGCATTGCCCGATCACGGTTATTTCGTTTCCTGTTGAACCAATTTCTGACCATCTACAATCGACAAAGTGCACTGGAAATTCCTGTATTGATAATTCTGATCCTGTCCCTATAGTGATTAGATTTATTTTTGGGTTTCCTGTTCCAATGCCGCCTGTTCCTTTTCCCCGTGCCCATGCGAACTTCCTATCTTATTTTAGTTTGGTCCACCGGTGTTGGTTGTTTTTGTTTGTCAGGAGCATCTACGCCGTGGTCAACATCGCGGATAGCCTATTTGCCCTATTTGCCTACTTTTGCTACTGGTCGTCGAGCTCTGTCATTCAATCGTTTTAATGAAATATACCATACAAACCTAAACCTTAAGCCACTGCAATATAGGATGTGTTCTTTGCCAGTTTTATTCAGCTGTATGTGTTGTGGCAGTCGGCGGAACTAAACAAACGATCATTTGCTACCTGCAGTGAGGTGAAATGCGTAATGTGGAGCATCAGACAACCCTCGCGTCAGTTGGTATCATTTGACCTAAACTACCATGGTGACAAACAGTACTTTGGTGTTTAAGGCATCAGTTCTTCTGTGGAAACCGATCAGCCAAACTCTCATTTCCTCTCTGGGTTTTGTGATTAGGCCAGTATTTTGCGACCTGTCTCCTGTGTTAGACTCTAGGGAATCAATTGGATCAATGGAGTTAATCGTTTTTTTTTTTGTTTTTGACGAATAACTGTCAGGTAGAATGTGTGGTTCTCGAATTCGAGTGTTCGATTGCCTATCACTCGCGAGAAACGCTTCACTGATAAAATTATAGTAATGCTTCACATCGTTCCCGAATACCTGCCAAACCCATTCTTGATTTGTTAATCTATTCGAGGAATGTCGTTAACGAGTGTTTCGGGTGGATCTATCGTCAACATAAGCTTAGCTTGCGGATGAGTGTTTCGCTGTTTGCGTACATTTTGATGTTCGAGCAGGATATAAATTTTGCGGTAACTCGGGGACCACGCCCAACTGATCCTCCCCAGCAAGGGTTGAACCGGTCATAGGCCCTCCAGGAGTTTTCAGCAACCAAATAAGTAACGTTTTCATAAAGGAAACTACTCACAAGGTTGCTGAAAACTCTTCGACAGCCCACGACCGGTTTCGCCCTTCTTGGGGCTCATCAGGTAGGCGCAGTCCTCGAGTTTCCATCAACCTTATGTTCTATTTGAACCCAAATTGCACCGTTTTCGAGAAATACACTCATTTGCAAATCAATTTGGTTTATACGAGAGACTCTATGAATCTCTCGTTTATGATGTTCTACAACTGATTGTGCTGCACACAGGTCGTGGGCTGTCGAAGAGTTTTCAGCAAACTTGTGAGTATTTTCCTTTATGAAAATATACTGCGATATTTCGAATATCGTGCCAACTGAATCAAGAGGTGCCCTGTGTGCAACACATTCAGTTGTAGGATATCATAATCGAGAGATTCAGTTGAGCCTCTTGTGAAAACCAAATTGATTTGCAAATGAGTGTATTTCTCTAAATAAGTAATGTGTTTCGTCATGAAGTCACTCGTGTTTACCAGGTGAACCGTTGTTTCTTCCAAATCGCATGTGCAACCATTTTGTGTTGTTGCGTTAGTGTTTTTGTTAAAGATAGTTGAAAATTGTGATCGAAGACAACTTTTTTTTTGATACCAGAGTTCCGTTGTTTCCGTTCCGTTGTTTCACACCGTATGGATTCATCTTCGCTTCATGCATAGTTTTATACAAAGCTGTAGGTTCGAGGATCTGCCAGTTTGAATAATTGCTTTCCAGATTACAGTGAGGGGAATGATGACCTTAGCAGTTCGAGGGTAACATCCGGTCGAATACGCTGTCTACCCTCGTCGGGTAATTTCGATTGAATCGTATTAGATGCATCAGCCACTAAATTCCTAATACATCAACTGTATATTTTGCGTCTTTTCTTACCTTCTCTTACTTTCTGAGGGTCGCTTCTGTTAACGAAACAATCGTTGAGTACCATCTTTTTGAGACCCCATGCTGCGTCTCATTGTCTTTTTCACCCATTTCCGATTCCTAGATACGCAGTTACGTCAAATTTGATTTTTTTTATTTCTAGACAAGCTGCACATAACGATAATCGATTCCTAGATACGCAGTTACGTCAAATTTGATTTTTTTTTATTTCTAGACAAGCTGCACACTAATGATAATCTAGTGAGTGACATGATCCGTTCAGATCACGTTGTCTACGCTCGTTGCTACGTGTAAAATGCTTATGGAAAGTGTACACAGGAGGCAGCAGGACTTACGTTATACACTACGTCACCCGGTATTTTTTCAGCATCGGTTTATGTCATATTGTATGCATTCCGGAAGTAAATCGGTTTCAGTTTTCATCATTGGAGGTTTACTGTCAGCATTCCCCCCACCCTTTCTGTCGTCTTCCGCATATGATCCCGTGACATACGCTTTACGTTTTTAAGAAGACGATAATGGAATTCTGGCACGTGGTCACATTGTCCATATTTGACTGTCCTCTCAGCCTGTTGTTGTTTATTCGACTGCGTGACCTTTGGTAGCCAAAGTAGATTAAACAGATGTAAAAAACCTCACCAAGGCGAATCAAGTGATCACGAACACCGATATACCCATATAATTCAGTGGCTTTGATAATAGAATCTCACGTTTTACTCTGCTGCTGCTGTTAGGCGAATGCTTGTGAAACGGAGCGTGACACTAAGTTCTAAAAATTGAGGGATTACTTCACTGATTAATCTGTCGATATTCACCGGCTACTGGCCGAAGCATCAACCTGTCTATCTCACCTTGATCGTCACACTCTCATAGTTCGTGCCTGTTGCTAATCGTTTTTGCTGGTTCAGTTTCAAGAGCTACATCACCTCGTGTCATCATTTTCTCATTTTGAACTCAGCTCATCTTACATTCCGAATGATTCACTAGTTAGCGGCACTTGGGCAGATACAATTCGAAACGGAAATTGGAATTTAGCGGAAATTTCTGTTTTTAGCAGGGAATTAGCCATGTCTGTCTAACTCTTTCATGCTTGGGTTTGTTGAGATTTTGTCAGACAGCACACTTGTCAAAAATCCATGGCACTCAGTGAAGTAGGGTATACATTCTGCTACAAAGTAATGTAAACAATCTGGCAAATTGCCATCAGTCACCTGGACTAGGGCGGTCAAATCTTGCACAGTCACGGCCTAGCCACTTTGTGAGGGGCGGGTAATAACCATTTAGTCACTGTACACGGTAAACTAAGTGTATGTATACAAGTGTAAACGTAGTAAAAACTGGTGGAATGTCGACGATAGTTATAGGAGGACTTATGTGTTTGAAGTCGATTATGAGCAACCCGTTTCTTGAATTCGATCAGTTTGGTGAAAGCCGGATGAGATATTGGGAGAAATTTGGTGATTTCACCAACACGAGTCCCTCAGCAAACAAAAAGCGGATCCATTCATCAAGGTATCTTTTGTTGGTGGAGATTGTTGTGCAAAGCCAACTGTCATTAATAACCTCAGTTTTTGGTGATTATTTTCGTGATCATGAGTGAGCTTACTGGATAATCATTGGACTAGAGGGCTGGTGTTAGTAGGACGCTTGATAATTCTATTAGGAATTCAAGTTTACCACCGGAGGAGCTCACCACTGTGACAGGCTTTTTGAACGTCCCCATGGGATGGATGGCCGCGTTTCTCGTCAGAATTTGTCCGGGGTCGTTTTATTTAAGCCTTTTCTTTCGGACAGCTTGACATCTGAACCCGCCACCCTTCTATTTCGTATCATTCTAGAGTTTCCCTGTAAAGAGCTACGTTGTCGGCTGGCTATTGCTATCACAGCCAATTTCATTAACTACCACACCACGGCAGAGGCCGAAGTGGAAGAAATCAGTGGCGTTTCCAGCATATTCAACCAACAGTTCTTCGCCAGTCTCGCATCTGCAACTGGGATTGATTTGGAGAATATTGTCTACTATAAGGATGAGACGCACTATTTTGTCATGACTGCGAAGAAGCACAGTTTGCTCAACAAGGGTGTACTCAAACAGGTTAGTTTTCTAATCTGATGGCTTGTTGCTGCATTCTTTCCATTAGTGCAGATAGCTGGTAAAAATTTCCCCACTATTCTTGTCTTATCCGCTCGTCAAAGGATCTTACCAAGTGTTAAAAGCTGCACGCTTCCCCCGTTTCCCAAATCATAACTTGCATCCGATTACTGTTCATTACATCAAGGCCCGGGGTACTTATGACTTCTGAAAATTGCTTTCTTAATCTCCAACTTGACAATCTTTTCAACGATGCCGTAAATATTTCATTGGCAGACGAAGATACGGTGACTATACGGACCGTGTGTATCTTGCTGGCTGAACGGTTAATCTTAAACCCAGAAGGAACTGTTTCATATTGTTGGTTCTGAACAAAAGTATTTCAATCCCTTTAATAGTCCCCCCCCAATCCATTGCGTCATGCCTGCAGTTATTCCACTGCAGAGAAAATCGTTCAACTGTAGCACCCTTTCGGTGCCTAGCTGCCATGCCACACGAAGGAGGCACGACGGCTGGGATACTGCCAGGTCGCCCAAGCCTCGACAGGGGAAGTCGAAAGGTATAGAAAAGTCAGAAATATTACAACTATCTGAACACAAGATGCAATGCACATTTGACGGAGGGCAAGTCATATGCAGTTTCGTTCTAGCTGGAACACCATGGCGTTTAGGTCTGATCCTGTCAATGTTTCACCATCAAACTTTGTCTGTCTACCTTACTAGACAAACCAATATGATTCCGCCCTATGAGTGAAATATTCTCTCTTCTCCACCTCATTTTCACACTACGATCACGATATTTTCCATAAGATGTTTTGTGTGGAACTCTTGGGATTACCAGACAGATTCCGGACCTATTTCATGAAAATCTTTCACAGCTGTTCAACGCTTCAGGTCTCCTGCCGGTGACTGCAAACCTAAGCTTTGTGTCGAATAATTTTTCGACATGACACGTAAAGAGATGGCGATATTCGTCTGTCTTAGCTTCAGTGACGGACTAGAAAGTTATTTCACTTTGTTCACCAAAGTCATACAGCCCACCCGGTAGTGTATTCAGTTTGCTGAAATCGTGAGGATACTTTTATCAGTGGGGCAGTGTTCGCACTCTAAACATCCATGTTTATCATGGTCACTTCCTGTGCCCTCACTATGCCACGCATAGCCTGGTGACTAGGCACGATAAACAAGGCTTGTTTACACCATGGCGAGGCCTCTGGTTAGATCCGAGTGGCGGCCATTCACTACCTCACACAATATTGTACCACTTACCTGACAGAGTCGCGGCTCCTGTTCGACCATATTCACACACTCGTTGGCCGGGTTACTGTCTGAATTGAAACCTTAGCGAGAACGACTGTTATATCAGTGAATCTTTGGTATTACTTAAGAAATAAGAATAACACTTGAGGCCCCCCCCAATCCATTGCGTCATGCCTGCAGTTATTCCACTGCAGAGAAAATCGTTCAACTGTAGCACCCTTTCGGTGCCTAGCTGCCATGCCACACGAAGGAGGCACGACGGCTGGGATACTGCCAGGTCGCCCAAGCCTAGACAGGGGAAGTCGAAAGGTATAGAAAAGTCAGAAATATTACAACTATCTGAACACAAGATGCAATGCACATTTGACGGAGGGCAAGTCATATGCAGTTTCGTTCTAGCTGGAACACCATGGCGTTTAGGTCTGATCCTGTCAATGTTTCACCATCAAACTTTGTCTGTCTACCTTACTAGACAAACCAATATGATTCCGCCCTATGAGTGAAATATTCTCTCTTCTCCACCTCATTTTCACACTACGATCACGATATTTTCCATAAGATGTTTTGTGTGGAACTCTTGGGATTACCAGACAGATTCCGGACCTATTTCATGAAAATCTTTCACAGCTGTTCAACGCTTCAGGTCTCCTGCCGGTGACTGCAAACCTAAGCTTTGTGTCGAATAATTTTTCGACATGACACGTAAAGAGATGGCGATATTCGTCTGTCTTAGCTTCAGTGACGGACTAGAAAGTTATTTCACTTTGTTCACCAAAGTCATACAGCCCACCCGGTAGTGTATTCAGTTTGCTGAAATCGTGAGGATACTTTTATCAGTGGGGCAGTGTTCGCACTCTAAACATCCATGTTTATCATGGTCACTTCCTGTGCCCTCACTATGCCACGCATAGCCTGGTGACTAGGCACGATAAACAAGGCTTGTTTACACCATGGCGAGGCCTCTGGTTAGATCCGAGTGGCGGCCATTCACTACCTCACACAATATTGTACCACTTACCTGACAGAGTCGCGGCTCCTGTTCGACCATATTCACACACTCGTTGGCCGGGTTACTGTCTGAATTGAAACCTTAGCGAGAACGACTGTTATATCAGTGAATCTTTGGTATTACTTAAGAAATAAGAATAACACTTGAGGATGAATTGAGTTCAATCTAGGTGATCTGTTGATTCAAAAACATTTGGGAACTGTGTAACTCGGTGATGGCCAGGAGTGATCATTAATTTAGCTGATTTGTACTCGCATTTCATGGATTCACAGGTTATCGTGTTTCACGTTCAGAGCAATCATTCATATTTCTGTGGGGTCGTGTACGGTTGAAAGATTTCAAATCGATACGCAGTGGATACATGTAAAAATAAGCAATAGTTTGTTCTATGAAATTGCGCACCTCGTATTGTTCTATATAGGTATTTAATTACCTGTGTTTTGTCGACTGCTAGTTCTACCTGATCAACGGGCCAACTTTCCTTCTCAGTTTAGTTGTTTCTACTGTTTATGTGCACGACTAGAGGAAAAACCAGCCATTTGCAAAGGAGATGGAGTTCCTAAAATTTGTCATTGTCAGTGATTGCTGTTGAATAGTTCATATTAAGCCAGTTGGAGAACGCCTTTTACACGGACTGTATTGCTCTTCTGGCTGTCGTCGACCTGTCAAGTGTGTTGCTTCGAAACAGACAGGCGCGGAATTCCGCGGGTTTCGATCGGTTCGACAACCAACCAGTCGAACATTCCAGTGCATACGAAAATTCCGAATACCTATCGGAAACGCCATCGTCTTCCGTGTTTACTAATGAAGCTGAGGCTGGGTTTTTGAAACGCTTGTCTTGTGAGTATTAGGCACGCGCGTATGCCTAGTGTTCACCGTGATGTATGGCAGTTCGCACGCTCTGATTACAGGCCACACACCTCTCCGTTCTCGTACTGGTTGGTACTTTTGCGTAATGCCATCATCCCCAAAGCACACCGTTGATCTCACACAGTGACCTAGTCTGAACAAATCAAAAGATGTCGGTGCGTGTGATTTTAGTGCTACACTCTATCCTCGTTAAATTACTATCTATGGTATCCCAGCTGGTCTTCATCCAAGTGTTTGGCCATGTTCCCAGGCAGATTTCGTTCCCAAAACATTCGAAGAATTAACCGTTATCGTATAGGGAGTTTTACACACAGACTCAATAGTTTCGGGAAAATTTAGTTGGTTATCGCTTGAATATGGTTGGCTCATTACTACCCCCTCCCCTTTTTCGACATTTTTTGGCTAAAATTTATTTGTTTTAGGAAATAATCCCACGACAAACGTAAGAGTGATGAGTGCCGATGTACAATGTTACTCTTGTACTTGGCATATTCGCGCATAAGTAAACAAACTTTACTGCAGTTCGCTCAACCACTGCATATCTTTTTGCTTCAGTACATTTTCACGTCGCTGATCTTTGATGAATAACCGTCATAGGATATACGGCATATACGGTGTACTTGTATGTCAGCGGGACAGACGTTAGTCTGCATATAAAATCCTCGTCGGAACTGAAAGGCACCAAACGCCGGTATCAGTCAGCTAACGGTCATCAACAACGTTTATTGACAGATGCTTCGATGGCCCGTCTGCATAGGGCGTAAATCGACCTACAACAATTTGCAGGATACAATTAACCTACAACTTAACATATAACTTACAGAACTAATGTCAGTTCGCGATCTACTACGTCTTGCAACCTTCAGTCCGGATAGGCTACGAATTTTTTTCGGGTTTACTGGTACTTTGAGTTCTCGTGAAATCGTTCACCGAATTGATAAAGCCGGCAATTGTCATGAGAGGCTTGGACAGAGTGACACCACTAGTGTAGAATCGGCCTTGTCTGCATCTGATGATCGATAACACTGCCGAAACCAACGTCTCTCTACTTGAACAACTTTATCTCACTATATTCAAAGTACTGCTCTAACAATCAATCAGCGAAGTAAAAAAATATAATGAACGGAACATGGAAACCAGTGGAGAATTTCGTTTTTGTTTTTAGTAGTTTGGGTCGTTTCCCGCTGGGTCTAATTAGGTAAGGTGTATGAAAACCAAACTTACATAGATGGAAATCGAGACCCTTTAGTTCGGCATACAAGTGATAACACCGTCCCTTATCCTGTATTTTCTATTTATTCAACATGCTGTTACGATTCCCCCGAATGTCTGATAATGGCTACGGCGAATGTTGATGTCCCGTTACTTGAATCCTCTGAATTAGAATCCAAGTTGGATGCAATGATCATCAGTTCGTAACCATTTCCAACTTTTCTTGTGACCGCTGCTCGCTTGATCCGGTTCGTTAGCTTAATTCCCTCTACCCCCAGAAAAATGAAACATCGATTGAGTATGTTTCAGGAGCCGTGCAGTGGTTGTTACATTTTGTGTATGCTTCTCAGAACCGGCGGTCTTTTATTTAGTTGGTCTATATTTTTGCATTTATCCCTAACCTCACTTCCGATGTAGGACCGAGATGATTCACAATCACTACTCAGCGTTGAGAATATAGACAAGGAGGCTCTGCAAAAATACGCACGGGAAACAGCAAATTACGTGACAAATGGCCGATTGCCCCGACTAGACTTTGCAACCAATGCTCGAGGCGAGCCGGACGTGGATGCATTTGATTTCACCCGAATATTTGCTGCCGAATACTCTTGTCAAATGATTGAGAAGAATCAGTACCTTCTCATGCAATGTCTGGTCGGTGATGGTCTATTCGAAGTGAGTCATTGGATTACAATATAAAACTGGTTTTTAAGTCGATTATCTTTTGTTGTTGTGCAAATTTCTTTCTTACTCCCTGCATGTGAACATTCCGGTCTTCTCGATATCCTTTTCTAGTGGTTATCCATGACGAAAGATTTAACTAGTCTTCTTATATAATGGACAGGTAATTGTGCAGGTTTCTGCTTTGATGGCTGGACTTCTGTTACACAACACACAATGTATTTGATGAGTTTTCTTTTGCTCTCACAGCGCATTTTTACTACCAACTGTGGACCTGATCCCATATATTTTAAAAAATAAAAATCCTATTGATTCGGTCTGTGGTAGCAGTAACTCGAACCTGTTGAGCAGGAACAAACGGAACAGGCCCGTAAAACTATTCCCTTGAGGGGGATGTTAGAAGCAATTCGGTCGTTATCCACTTGGCTGCTGACTCATTGGTCATCGATTCCTCGCTGGGTCATGTGAGACCCAGTCGATAGGGTTGCCAAGCCTATCCTTCACCACCAACCAATCAAACGTCGGAAACGCCGACCACGACGCAATATAAATCACGAACGGACCAACCGGAAGAGACAATAATGGACGGCAATTTCAACAAGATAGTGGCCGTAGAAAGCAAAAATACAAACCACAACGCAACGCGGATGGTAATCGGACCAGCCAGAATCCAAGTACGATGATTGTCAACGGCCAATCAAGATACAGGGCAAGAGCTGCTTGCTGTAAACTATATAAACGCAAGCACAAAAAGAGGGACTACCCATCCAACAGCGCACTGAAGATGTCTGCTCGAATGGTGATGAAACGTTTGCAAACCACTTGCCAAACTCGGAGAACAGATCAGCGGCCACCTGATCAAATACCAACTATCGTTCTCAGTTATCATGTGACCACTGATGTGCACCATGTACAGCTTCATCCCACAGTCGACTGGCTTTCTGCGACCGATTTTCCTTCTTGACAGGATGTCACACTTTTTGTTCTTAGTATTACAAAAACTAGCTCATGAATTTCTTTCAAATGTCCTTGAATGTTGGACTTACCTAGCTCTCCGCACTAGAAGGTTATGGTAGTTGTGGGATTTGGTACTTTTTTCTTTAATTGCTCGTGTAGGTTGAATTGGAGGCGGATGAGTTGTTTGTGGAACTGTCAGGTTGAAACATAACATCGTTAATCCTATAAGAACACATAACCATGTTTGCGTATCTATTCTCTCTTCAATTCGGGAGTCGCAGCAAACACATTCGACTCCAGCTGTTAGGAGATCTCACAAGTGCATTTCGGGGACACGTTAGGCTACTCATCGGTTCACTACAGTCACGCCAAGTGACAATATTTCAACCGAATATTTGTGAGACAAGCTTTCCGGTTCTCGAAAACATTCCTACAGCGCGTTATTAGCAACCTCATAACTCGTTGCTTGATAAATTAAAAGGTTCATATTTCAGTTATAAGGTCAATATATTTCCGAGTAGATTCACCACAGTGACGGTAAGAAATGGTACGCAAATAATACTCATGTATGGGCCGAAAAGCTTGCATCAGATCAATGGATTTGTTAACGGAGAGACCGCAATAACCCAGGGATGTTAAAACAAATAGTTGTGAAAAAACACAGATTCCTTAGGCACTTTGTTTAGTTCCGTTGATCCTCGACTAATAACTCTATCAAATCCTCACTCCTCAGAATCCACGAAGCACCATAGTGCGTGCATGTTTCAAGTACTGCTGTTCTGTCTGTCTTAAGGGCGTTGTTGGAGAACTGTTGGTGGTAGTTTACCTTCTGAGTTCAACCCATGTGTTGAGTGCATGCTGAAATACTTCTGCCCATGTTGCTTTTCTTATTCATTCCGGTGTGGTGTCGTTGGAAGCGCGTTCAGCCTTGAGAGAACTTGCGATTTGAAAGGATTATTAATCCTGACGTCTAATGGTTACAGCTTCATCATCATCACCATCATTGACAGCAACACCAGGTACGAATACTGGCGCCTCACTACCGTACACCCGTACAACCATGGTTAATTCGTCGAAATCACAAATTATAATATAAAAAAGAAGGAACTAGGCCCTGTCTAACAAAACAGCTGTAAACAAAATGAAAAAAAACGATATATGCTATACCCTTGGTGATTCGTCACCTCTGGCGAATCCAACTCGAGAACTACAATCTTCTCCCTCGAATAGCGATGGAAACAGTTTTCCTAATGATGTTTCCTCTCCATGTATGGGCTATACACGCTGCGTCGCGGGACACCATAGCCCCACTGCAAGGGCAGTTTCAGCTAGTCCTACCAGGGCCAATTTTGGGGTCCGAATGACTTTGTGTTGTGCTGATATTTCTCTCTCGATGGGACTAAGACGTAGCGATTCTCTCCATTGTGTGTGTAGCGTCCTTACTGCTTGTTGCCCTTTTTCGCATATTTTCCGATGCCTCACTTAACCCCTCAATTTCTATTCGAATAGCCTTTCTGGCCCACTGGTAGTGGGTGTGCTCTCGGATTCTTGTCGGCTTTGGATGCTGCTTGGGCTGTTTCACGCCTGGCTTCTGGACATAATCCGCTCCAGGTGCTTGCTCATCGTGAGTCCGTCTACCAACGTTTGAGTCAAACAACGGCGCAGAATATGCCATCCAATTTTTCAGAATATACCTTGGATCCGAGAACCCGGTCAGTCCGCCACCCTCTTTCTCCCCTATATATGATTGACTTAATCTTGCTTCCGTGGACCTGTCTTCTGGTTTGCCCGATTCGAAGTGCAGACAGCACACTCGTTTCATGTATTGACCGCGGTTTTCTAGTTCCTGAATGTAGTTCTGATCATGTTTTTTGGGATGGTAGGTTGTGATTTTATCGGCTCTTTTTAAACCGACACAGATCTAAACGATAGCATTTTTTCGTGGAGATTTTGTCCTATTCAGAATCAAATAATGGCGTTCTTGAACGTCCTTATCGCTAGCCTGTCAAATTCGTTTTACAAACTGCACGTCGATTCAATGTTGTTCGAATATGATGTGTTCACCTCGCCTTTACGGATAGGTCCAATTCGCGATGGGCTCTTTTTCAAAAGTGAATAATGTATTTCTGAAGGTAGTTTTCATATCCACACTCATCAAAATTCCTCAAGGTGAGATGAAACGACCTGTCTCCTGAAATAGGGTCACGTGTGTTGGGAATTATTCCGTCTGATTGGATGTCGTTCCGCCTGGTCCGGAAAATTTTTTACATACGATTCTGGAAGCTTTCACGAACGACTTTTTAACGGGAGAATGGGTGTCCTTTGATTGAGTTTATCTTAAAACATAAGTCTGTAAGTTGGGATCAGCATTCACTGTTAGGTTGACTTCCTCTGGGTCAATTAAATTCGTTTGAACCTTGTAACCTTCGAGCTTGGGGGCGAGATGTCTTAGTGGTAGAGCGCGAAGTTCCGCCTGGTCCAAAAAATTTTTTACATACGATTCTGGAAGCTTTCACGAACGACTTTTTAACGGGAGAATGGGTGTCCTTTGATTGAGTTTATCTTAAAACATAAGTCTGTAAGTTGGGATCAGCATTCACTGTTAGGTTGACTTCCTCTGGGTCAATTAAATTCGTTTGAACCTTGTAACCTTCGAGCTTGGGGGCGAGATGTCTTAGTGGTTAGAGCGCGAATTTACTGACCAGAAGGTCCGTGGTTCGAAGCCGACCTCTGTCTCTCAACTTCCCCTGTCTAGGCTTGGGCAACCTGACACTATCCCAGCCTTCGTCCTCCCTTTGGATGGCATGGTATCTAGGCACAAAAAAGGCGTTACAACTGAACGATGATCTTTTTTTAATCTTCGGGCTTCACTCGCTTTCTATCAGCTAGAGTGATCTGTCATGCCGTAATGCTGCTCCTGCTTCACAGAAGTACTGAGAATTCAGCTTCTCTAACTTATCGTTTTTTTCTATTTCAGGTATACCCGGTGTAATGTCAATCTTTTCGGAACTCACCAGGTTCGTCATTTGTATCACACTGATCGGAACAAGGTATCACGATCTCGATCCGTACGAAACTTCGGTCAAGATTCAGATCTCTGCAAGCACGTAGAAAATCGTCTGAAAGAACAGCTTACTTACTACAGCACCCTGATCAGTCGAGACAGCAAGACTATGGATGTCCCATCACCGCCAGAACCACTTGGCTTGTTACGTTGGTGCCAATCTCGTTTGTCCTTTTATGAAACGCATGGATTAGTCACTTCCCTCACTGATCTGAACTGCTCGAGTTGGGACTCGGGAGTCAGACTTCTATGCCTCATCCACCTTTACAGACCAGAGCTTGTTCCCGAACTAGAGCAGTTTTTTAATGGCAAAATGTGTGATCCGCAAGACGTATTTCGCAGTAAAAATTCCCATTTGGTGGACATGCCCCCAAAACCGGCGTTGATAAGAGCTTGTGGTGTACTGATGGAGCACTTTGATGTGGAGTTCATCTCAACGGATAAGGATTCCATCGGGACCGGCTATCCAAGGTCGAATTCTGATTGGCTGTCTTACTTGAACCAGGTCTACCACGTGCTCCATCCACTGAAGATAATTCGACCTCCTCCTCCTTCAGGTTCGTCAGTGAAAAATAGACAGTATTTTCAGATCCTATAGCATATTTCTGATTGTTTGCTTTACCAATGGATCACTGAAATTATTTTCGTAGTTACTTTGGTACGACGGAACAGCCATTCCAACTGCAACCCAACTTTTACTTGTGATATCTGGTTTGACGTGACTTATGTCAAAATCTCTTTATATTTGCCATTTTCGGCGTTTACATGGCTGATTGTATAAAGTCCATGGGGCCTCCCTAACAAACTCCGTGAATTTCTCCATACAATAGCTCCCGTCCTACTTATGACCTTCAGGATCCATATTCTACAATACACTGAACATGCAACATACCCCGGGAATTGCATCAGAAATGCCCCATTAACAGCATTACTGTAAATTCGGTAGTTAGTGTCCAGTATAGTTGTGCCTTGTAGCTTTAGCGTTCACCCAGCATTTGGTATTCCACTACATGCCATCTACTAGTGGCGCATCAAACCAGCGGGAATCTTGCTAACTATTAAGACACAAAGATTATTGATAGGAAACGTAGACACATAAGACCTGTCTTTCACCTTCAGGCCCTGTCAAATTTAAACCAATAGCGTGTTCTGTTTTCTTCGTAAAACCCTTCGCAGTGAGGTTCGCTTGCTCTCCATGGTTACCAAATTATCAGACAGAATAGTTAAGTGTGACCTTTTTCCGTTGTATTCCTTATGTGATTGTCAGTCTTTACATTCTTTCCAATACGCCATTCCGGACGATCAAATTCTGTAGTTTGAAATGAATGAAGCGCGGCGAGACTATTTTCCATCCGCATAAAATCCTGTATATTCTCAAACTTTGGCAGACACATTGAACGAGCCACAGCTGCGCAGTTTGTAGACTAAACCTTGTTTGGATTTCTCGGTCTCAGTAGACCGGAAGCCTGAAACGGTCGCGGCTAATTGAAGGTTTCCTATTCATGAATCGCTGCCACACACCCACGTTCTTCCAACTCGATCGATCATTGCGTTGTAATAACTGTAGGACGTGTAGTAGAACCGTCTTCAGTCGGTCAATTCTCCATTGAAATGTTATTGCCAATGGTCTGCGTGTTTGCTTCAGTGGTTTTTTCCCAAGCGTCTATGAACACGTGTGGTGAAAACTCCATTTTACGACAATTCAGAGAGGGCAGAAAACCAGAACGATCATGTTATTACCTGTTATTCCTGGGCACTTGCTTTAGTGAGTTGTCCGGAGGAATGTTGCTCTGAGTTTCTGTCTTTTTCCACATTTGCTGTTTTCATCGTTTCTCCGTGTAATAGGTTGACGTTTTTTTAGCCAGTTTATAAGGTATCATTGGCACTACAGCCTTCGGTCGTCTAAGTTGTGTGGCGTGATGTGAAAATGGCACATCCATGTAGTATCTGTGCCCATACTGCGATGTTAATCAGTGATTGTTTAGATATTGATTAGATTTTCGAAAAATGATTTTTGGATGCTACACATTTGTTCATCCATCAACCCTGAGTGGCATTCAAACCGGTTGCCAGACTTCGCGTTTTCCTACCGACCATTTTTAGGAATAAATCCGAGCGTAATGGTTGCCTGCAACATGTGAGGACTGTTCTACAAACGTGCAAAGCTGTGCTGAAACATTTTCTCCGTAGAATTCCCTGATAAGGTAGAGCAGCAAGTGAAACGAACTTCCCCCGTGCAGTTCTGCTTCTCCTGTCTACAGAGGAAACGTGACTCCCAGTAAACTCCAAATCACTGATAACCACTTCTTCTAGGAAGAATCATAGGGCTTTATTTCATGAGTTAAGCAATGGAAAAGGTTCACTTATGTAGGTTCTTCGTAACGTCAAAGGGTCTCTCCTAACTCGCTGCCCCAATTTCCTTTTTTGTGGTTCGTCCTATTAAGGATGACTGTGATAACTATAAAGTTGTAATAGTTTTTCAGTAATTTTGTGATCCTCACAGACTAGCTGTTTACTGTGTTACTCTCACTAATCAGGTTTTCTTTTTTCTTCTCTACTCATCAGCTTCAGTGAATGGGATAGATGGAAAGCTCAATGTCCACCGAAACCACTCGCCTAACCGATTGTCTTTTATCACAGCTAATGGCCATTTGAGTCCGCCACCACTACGGAGCAGGTTATCACGAAGTGATATGAATGTGAACCGGTCGCCTCATAAATCATATGGAGTGGTGCGTGAAGATCCGAACTGGACGGTCGAAAAAGGTCTACTACCTAAACGACGTGCCGAATTAATAGCGGGATTCGTAAGTTTTCTTCTCACTCGATTTCGCGCCGATCTACAAGCTTTTCCTTTTTACTTCGACCTGTGGTATGCCTAATGTCTTGAAACTTTATCAGCAGAAACAGCGGGTGGTTTCGTCTTCTGGCTGAATATTCCTTTTTGCACACAAATTTTATCGGGGCTAGACAAAAAACAGTTAAGTAATGTTCACATATAGCTCAGACGTTCCTTACAGGAACCTGTCGGGTATTAGGCAAAAGGTCAGTCACGCATACCTTAATTTAGTCCGGTCAACAAACTTGGGGAGGGAATTGTTCTGTCCTCTTGGCTCAGCTGGTCTTCTCGATTGGGGGCGTCTCATCATCGTCATTACCATCATCATTAGCAGCAGCATGTGATAGTGTGATGACGTAATCAGTATGGCACCGCTGCTGATCTTTTTATCGAAAACCTTTATTTTTTCAGCTTCCTGCTTCCGACTAGACTTCAAAACTCCAATTCATGTTTGCTTCTGCCAAAGAAAGTATAAGTGTTCTTCAGGTTGAGTGTGTATACAGTCGGAAGTGTGCGTAAGCACGTGCGCGTAGCAAACTGTCACCATGTTTGGGTGTGTATCAGTGTGACACGTATCATGCTGTTAAACTACTCCACCTCCGACGAGTGGTTCACCACATTCCAATATCAATCATCTGTCTAAGTGCACTAAAATCTATCTTAACTGCACTCGACTCATTGTTCTGAATAATCTACTTTGGATAAAAAAATAGCATACTCAGTGTCCGAAATGACCACAGATACGTGTCTGTCTGTCCTGATTGCGGATGAGGATGTGTTCAACCTTACCGAACTTCACTCGCCTTATTCCATATACCTGTCGTGTACTAGTCTTCTTGCTGTTCGTGAGAATCGAAGTGATTGCATGGATAACATGCGGCCACTCACTGCCTCGAAAAGTTCGGTTACTTGGACAGGGATCCGTAAGGCAATGATAGCCTTTGTAACACGCACCACCGTTTCATATTGATAGCACTCCCGGGTTGCCTGTGCTTTTTGTCACACTCTTTTTGGGACTATGTTATAGAAGCGAAGCTGCTCTCCATACATATCCTGCGTATTCGGAATTTTGAGTTTTGGAACTCCAGGTAATCCTGGGATTCCAACTTTTCTCGTGGAACGATCGCACTCATTCTGAATGTACTCGATCATTCCTCTGACGGACTACTAGAAGTGTGGAATCGAACTGGTTGCTTGTATTGGCATTTGTTTGATAGAATGAGCACTAGCTTGGTAACGATGTTTTCCTTCAGTGCCACTCGATTGAAGTCTTCACCTCTTCACCGTCTTGGGCTTCTTGATGCTTCGTCTTGAAGCTGTTGCTTTTCATCACCTCAGGGTCCTTGGACTCAATTCTGGTATGTTGGGATTTCGTATGATCTGAGCAAGATTCGTAATAATAATGATGATATTAATAGAAATAATAAGATAGTAAGATTGGGACTGATCACGCGATTGGGTATTGCACTAGAAGGCTATAGGAACTGGTAGTTTCTCGAAGCATTGGTAGCTGACGTGCGCTTATTGGTTGCTCAAATGAATGTTGATCTGTTCGCAGAACTTGACAGTTTGCTTGCATCTATGGTGTCTCCTCGTTTGGTGACAAATCGCTTCCAAGCCAATTTTCATGCTCGCTCAACACTGACCTGATCATTAACTAGCCATGTGAACTGAATGGTCGGCCTCATCCTGATGCCTTGACTGCCACGTCAGGCATCAGTTAGAATTGACTCATACTATGAACCACGACTCAACAATACATAAAGCTATCTTGCCACCGGATTTCTCTCCAGGAAGGACTGGATAATAGTGAATATTCAATCAATTGCTGTAGCCGTTGAATCCTCGTATGTTGTTTCCAAACGAATATACGCTTTTCCCAATTCCTAGCTTTAAATCTCGATATTACCTGCCACACCGAAATCTTCATATGCATAATTCTAGTCCAGGCATATCCTCTTTGACCATATTGCTTTCCAACTAACAAATTCGCTTGTAAGCAAGTAGATCTCCTCGTTATCAACAGGTCTACCCTACTAACGCACGTCTCCAGATGATTGAGACGGGTAACTATCAAGAGTTTAATAATTCAAAATGTCTTCATCTATTATGGAACACTACACAGTGGTCAACTTACACAACAACCAATAGGATCGGTGTCTTTCGCTACTGAGTTCTTTTGATCTATACCATTTTTCTTCTGTCATGGGATCAGTGCATATTATTATATCCTAGTTGTCGATCATGCCATGGTGATAAAATCCCTGGGCAAACGGACGTTTCAGCTGAATATAGTCTAGTGAATAGCCAAAACCTGAGAAAGATAATTAAGCTCTTTAGAGAATACGAATATTTTCACCCCAACAGTACTGCAAGCCTTTGCTGTCTACAACACAGCCACACTACAGCTGACCTCAAATTAGAGTGGAACTTTTCGAAACTCGAACAGACATTTTCATCGGCCTTCAGCTTCCATCCAGTTTGCCTTAGCAAACATTCGAAAGTGCAGGTACCTCCACGGGGCCGATTATTCTGATTGCCTGTAGTCGTCTTTTTACTTCAGAAAAATTTCTTAAAATAAGCATGGGTTCGCTGTTGTGGCGTCAGTACCAACATAGACGTTGCTCTATATATGGCTTTAATCCAACCGGCGGCACTTGTTTGGAGGCTATCGTTACTTTTTTGTCGCTAGCCGTTGCGGAATTCATGTTTCTGTAACATACTTGAAAAGTCTCCTCAGTAACTTGCGAAGCTGCCACCCGATGCTCAGTACTGTTCGTGGCCACAGGCCCCCCCCCCATAACAGGGCTGATTCGGTACTTCAAATCCTTATATGATCCTGGGCACTTAAATCACTCGCTTCGAGCAGTAGCCAGTTTTCAACCATCCGATGTTCAGGATACTGTTCACTGTCCTATAGATATGCGAGGGTGGTTGAACCTTTATTGAGGAAAATTGTTTCCCATCACTATTCACAAATCGTTCTTCTGTTCTGCCTGACACAGCTTGATTCCACGTCCACCAGACGTCACTCACAAGCGGCTGTACAACGCCCATTCTCTCGTGGTTTGAAACAACTGATAGATCCACTGAACCAGGAATCCACCTTTCCCAGCAACTACAACAACAACAAGAAACTTTCAACCACTCGAGGTATTTCAAACCATAAAGCCAAAAATCCTCCCATCAAAGTAAGCTGATCACATTTAGGTGTTCGTAGATTTTTATTTCTGCCAAGGGTTTTCCTCTCGACTGAACAGCGTGTAGTTCATACGCTGAGCATCTCCTTGAACACTTGAAAATTCATTTATTTTCACTGACAGGTTTTTGGCTTATTTCATTGTCAAATGATTGTAGCTCTGATTTAATCGAAAAGTGGTTATACATACAACTGAACGAACCTTTTCATGAGGTCTGCGTTTCTGAAATGATTTCATGACCTGAAGATGTAATCCCCCTTTGGTTATGTGTTGGAATATTGGTAGTCCGGGTACATCATCAGCTCACTGATGATGTCCGCTCAAATGATGGCGAAACGTCTGCAAGTCAGTTGCCAAGCTTGGCGAACAGATCAACAGCCACCTAATCAGTTTCCAAATAAGCACACGTGTTTGTCACTTTTACCCGTTAGATTGAAGTCCCGAAGGTTTGTAAGCCTATATCAAGCTAGACCTCTGCGTTGATCAACGTCTGGACTTTTATTACTTTAGGCGACATGATGCTCCGTGACACTCGTCATTGTCCGTCCAACTTTTGACACAGATCGACATTATTATGTTAAGCTGTCGTCTCTGACATTAGTGAAGAAACTGCAAGATTCCACAATGGACGTGGTGCATCTTCACACATCGGCGAATCCTCGTGAATAGGCTTATGTACGGTCGAACTCGAGTCCAGTGCTTCCCCCCTTTAGTGTGGAATCATGTGAATAATTGCGCCAGGACAGGAGGACGACTGTTCAAAACGAGGGTGATGTGAAACTGAACAATACGCCTCTCGGAAATTCTAGGCCTCGCACCCTCATTCTAGCTACCCAGTTATATACAATTAATCTGAATGGTACCGTTCGTCGCAGAAAAGTGCGGGAAAAAACGAGTAATTTTTTACTATTTCGCATAAGTCCCTACTTCTCCATTGTCGTTGACATGCCACTTATCGGAATATTGCTACTGGAGCATGTTGTGGCTGAAGGTCATCATCGCCACACAACTGCCACTACACAGTAAATGCAGGTTTGACAATTTAGGTGCCTTCGCCGCACTACACTCAAATGAATGTTGATCTGTTCGCAGAACTTGACAGTTTGCTTGCATCTATGGTGTCTCCTCGTTTGGTGACAAATCGCTTCCAAGCCAATTTTCATGCTCGCTCAACACTGACCTGATCATTAACTAGCCATGTGAACTGAATGGTCGGCCTCATCCTGATGCCTTGACTGCCACGTCAGGCATCAGTTAGAATTGACTCATACTATGAACCACGACTCAACAATACATAAAGCTATCTTGCCACCGGATTTCTCTCCAGGAAGGACTGGATAATAGTGAATATTCAATCAATTGCTGTAGCCGTTGAATCCTCGTATGTTGTTTCCAAACGAATATACGCTTTTCCCAATTCCTAGCTTTAAATCTCGATGTTACCTGCCACACCGAAATCTTCATATGCATAATTCTAGTCCAGGCATATCCTCTTTGACCATATTGCTTTCCAACTAACAAATTCGCTTGTAAGCAAGTAGATCTCCTCGTTATCAACAGGTCTACCCTACTAACGCACGTCTCCAGATGATTGAGACGGGTAACTATCAAGAGTTTAATAATTCAAAATGTCTTCATCTATTATGGAACACTACACAGTGGTCAACTTACACAACAACCAATAGGATCGGTGTCTTTCGCTACTGAGTTCTTTTGATCTATACCATTTTTCTTCTGTCATGGGATCAGTGCATATTATTATATCCTAGTTGTCGATCATGCCATGGTGATAAAATCCCTGGGCAAACGGACGTTTCAGCTGAATATAGTCTAGTGAATAGCCAAAACCTGAGAAAGATAATTAAGCTCTTTAGAGAATACGAATATTTTCACCCCAACAGTACTGCAAGCCTTTGCTGTCTACAACACAGCCACACTACAGCTGACCTCAAATTAGAGTGGAACTTTTCGAAACTCAAACAGACATTTTCGTCGGCCTTCAGCTTCCATCCAGTTTGCCTTAATAAACATTCGAAAGTGCAGGTACCTCCACTGGGTCGATTATTCTGATTGCCTGTAGTCGTCTTTTTACTTCAGAAAAATTTCTTAAAATAAGCATGGTTTCGCTGTTGTGGCGTCAGTACCAACATAGACGTTGCTCTATATATGGCTTTAATCCAACCGGCGGCACTTGTTTGGAGGCTATCGTTACTTTTTTGTCGCTAGCCGTTGCGGAATTCATGTTTCTGTAACATACTTGAAAAGTCTCCTCAGTAACTTGCGAAGCTGCCACCCGATGCTCAGTACTGTTCGTGGCCACAGGCCCCCCCCCCCCAACAGGGCTGATTCGGTACTTCAAATCCTTATATGATCCTGGGCACTTAAATCACTCGCTTCGAGCAGTAGCCAGTTTTCAACCATCCGATGTTCAGGATACTGTTCACTGTCCTATAGATATGCGAGGGTGGTTGAACCTTTATTGAGGAAAATTGTTTCCCATCACTATTCACAAATCGTTCTTCTGTTCTGCCTGACACAGCTTGATTCCACGTCCACCAGACGTCACTCACAAGCGGCTGTACAACGCCCATTCTCTCGTGGTTTGAAACAACTGATAGATCCACTGAACCAGGAATCCACCTTTCCCAGCAACTACAACAACAACAAGAAACTTTCAACCACTCGAGGTATTTCAAACCATAAAGCCAAAAATCCTCCCATCAAAGTAAGCTGATCACATTTAGGTGTTCGTAGATTTTTATTTCTGCCAAGGGTTTTCCTCTCGACTGAACAGCGTGTAGTTCATACGCTGAGCATCTGCTTGAACACTTGAAAATTCATTTATTTTCACTGACGGGTTTCTGGTTTATTTCATCGTCAAATGATTGTAACTCTGATTTGATCGAAAGTGGGTTATACGCCCAGCTAAACAAACCTCTTTATTTGGTGTGTTTGTGACATGATTTCACAACCGGAAGAGTAATCGCACTTTGGTAATGTGTTGGATTATTGTCAGTCCGGATACATCATCATAATGTCCCCTCAAATGATGGCGAAACGTCTGCAAGTCAGTTTCCAAGCTTGGTGAACAGGTCAACGGCCACCCAATCAATTTCTAAGTAAGCGCACGTGTTTGTCATCTGCGTCCGTTAGAAAGAAGTCCCGGGAGGGGGTTGTAAGCCTGTGTTAAGCTAAACTTCAGCGTTGATCAACGTCTGGGTTTTCAATACTTTAGGCAACCTCTTTCCATGTGACACTCGTCATCATCTGTCCAACTTTTGATACAGATCGACATTATTATGTCGATTCCACTACCACCCTTTCATACTTATTCGAAAACGGCCCATCACTTGACGTAGATGCCTGGGCGTTCAACATTGAACCGCTGCGCGATCGGGCTAGGTTGTGCAGCGATGGAATATTCTTCACCTCGCCGTCACCTTGGAATGTGTTGGTTCAATCCACTGTTTCTGGGGCTCCAGATAGATCGTGGGTTGAGGCGCGAACTTAGTGACCGGAAGGTTCGTGATTCGAACCTAATCTTAGCAACTTGACTGCTCCTGTCTGGGTTTGGACAACCGGGTAGTATCTTATACCTCGTGCTTCCTTCTGGTTACATGGCAGTTAGGCACCAAAAGATTGCTACAGCTGAACGGTTGTTATCATGTTACTGTTGCCGGTCCATCGGACTATGGGCGTGCGGTGTGCTCGGCGCAATTTCCATGTCATATCCGCACTCACCCGTCACCACCGTTCCTTTAGCTTGCGTAATACGTAACAATGGGAACACTCAATTTTTCATGCCGAACTCGCCAGTCTGATTGGAGAAAATAGCACTGTAGCGTGCGTGTGACAGTAAAGGGTTTGTAGGACCTCTGAACCGACGGAGGCTTTGGAACCAGGATGACGTCAATCGACCGCTGCATTGTTGATCGGACGGATGAAGGATGGTGATGCTACGGAGCATCGGTTTACGTGTCTTGCGCAGTTTACAATATCAGTATTATGGAAGGGCTCTTTCGCGAAGTCTATACATTATTTTCCTACCCATTTGTTATATGGTGTTTCGGATTATCGGTGTTTTTGCAGTTACTTAATCAATATTCTGTAGTAGAACGAGGGTACTTTGCAGGAGTCTGGTTTCCAGGAAGTTTGTCAAATTTTGGGCATCTGAGATCCGAATTCGAAAAGATTCAAACTGTTTGCGATTCCGACAAAAAATAACACGGCTTTCTAGTAGTTAATGACGCAAGAAAGGGTATAATACAACGGTTAAGTATTCAGAACCCAAATGAAGGCGATATGAAAAATTATCACGTTTTTATGTCCTTCAGGTCCCTTCTCACTGTCCAGTTGCCATAACGTCCATAAAATACTAATCATGCGCATTATCCCACTGACGTATGATTCCCATACCTATCACCTCGGGTCGTGCCTACTGTATCGTTCTGACTTAGTAAGATTGTTTTTTGCTATAGGACCAGTCAGTGTTGATTGATGAGGTTTTCTCATCTTTCCTGATTGCGTGACCAGACGACTAGCCATCAACAGGAATTGATGTCATTTGCGTAACACGCGAATGTTGTCTGTGCTCTTGCGTTTATATACTTCTTTATACACGTTTAAACACACTATTACAACCCATGAATTGGTTTCAATTAGTCGACAGTCAAAATTACGTTGAAGGTTATTGCTTCCCATCGGTTTTGTGGTGTTCAGGTGCTGTCACAGACAGCTACTGTTGGCACAAGTTAGGTACATGAGCACTTGTTTCTAAAGCATTTTCCGCCTCTTTACATAATAACCCTTTTGAAGAATTTCGCAGGTCGACCGCTCAATCTATTAGGTGAAAGTATACTGGTGTAGGTTGACTTCCACACCACCAATTAACATATTGTGGGAGGGCGAGATGTCTCAGTGGTTGGAGCGTGAATTTACTGACCGGAAGGTGCCTGGTTCGAACCTAATCTCCGCATTTTGATTTTCCCTGTCTGGGCTTAGGCAACCCGGTTGTATCCCAGTCCTCGTGCTCCCTGGGGTTGCATGGCAGTTGGGCGCCGAAAAGGTACTATTTAGCTGACGCATTGCGATGAGCTAATTTTTGAGAGCTATAATGCCTGACTCTACACTCTCAACTAACGGGTCCGCAACCTTCTGTTTCTATCTTCACCGTGCAAACTTTGAGAAAACCTGTACCATCCAAATTGATCTATCGCATACATCCTTCTTTTTCCACAACAACAGCTGAAAAGGCACATATCATTTCATTTGGATCCACTCACAAAGTGTTTGGTCCTAGCACTTCATCAATTTTAGAAGAAAACAAACTTAGCATTACGTTCTCTTCCGACCGAGTGTCAGGGTTCCCATCTCAACATTCCAGTGAGTTGTCACGGGACTGAAGCAAAAGACAACGGAATTAATGAATAACCACCTCAAACAAACTAAGTCGGTTGGATTACAGCCTGAACTGACTACCTCGAATGCTTCCATCAACTGAACAGTTATTGCAAGCGGACAATGGGAAGGTAGATGAAGAGGACTTATTTTCATCAGAACTCTTCGGATACGGCAGCCAGGTATTAGAAAATGTACTTCAATAGACCGGTAGGATTTGGCAAAAACAAACTTCTGTCATAGTTCAAAGATAAAAAACAAAGCAAGGTCGTGACTATGTCGCACTGGTTCGATCTGAGCTTCACATTTCAGTAACCTAGTTTACAAACCCACCGAACGCAGATTCGTTTGAGTTTAAATCTCTGGGTATCTCTACTCATGCTTGGGAACAAAATTCCCCGACGCGCTGCGGTGATGCCAGACCGAATCTGGTCTAACCATGGCCAACTATTGAACGCTATATCGGTGTGATCTGTATCGAGTTCACTGGTAATATGGATATGCAAGCTACCCGAAGAGAGCACCATTTAGTTCAATCGCATGGTTGTTCTTATTCCCCCCTCCCCCGCCTATCCACCTGGGCACTTACATGTGGTGAGCCTGCAACAGTACTGGCGGTGACTAAGGCTGGCCTAATGCAGACCGGCCCAACTATTAGGCAACACTAGCTAGCCACAGGTGAGTTCCAGCTGTGCCTTAAAGGTACTGCGGGTCACAAGGCACTCCGCATATGAAATTCGGGTCTCGGCCGCTAGATTGTGAATATGTAATTAAACATTAATGAACCCTCAATCGGGCTTGCTTATCATCCTCCTGTTCAGCGACCTGTCTCATCATGCTGGATTTACATCGGATATGAAGCTGCTTCTGTACGCGGCTTAGCGCAGGCCTCGTTTGTTTATAGCTATTGTACTCGGAGATCCGCGGATGTATTTTGAGGCGACGGGTAATCCGGAAACGGAAGCTAGTCCATAGTACAGTATATTAGTTGGATTGTGAGTGTTATTTCAGCAATGAAGTCGCAACAGACGCGAGCCCGTACAACACCCTGAGGTGAACGACATCAGGGCCGGATACGGCGAAAGCCTTTGCTATGTGATAGGTATGCCTTAGACCCATACTGTCCCTAAGTTCTGTTCTATATGGCTCTTAGATCCACATGGCCATCCGATCAACGTGTTTATGCCAAATCCAGCTCACATGACAGGAGACAAATGTCCGACAAAGCAATTATCGATTTTTGAACTTAGTAAGTCGTGACTTTTGCTTTCGCAAGCGGATATTATGCAGACCACATTATAATCAGCGGAACGTCTTCATCCATAGACGTTGCATGTCACTTTTCCGAACAAGATTACCACAATAATTGTTTTACGCTCTAGTTCCATCGTAACTTGGTATTCTACAATTTCCGTTCGGCACTTCAAAACACTCAGTTGATTTATGATTCGTAAGTTTGAGTATGTGGCAAACGTTTCCAATAATTATGATGTCAAATCCATCAAATGCGTTCTCCGGCTTCGCTAAACTCAACATTTATGCCACCTCAATTCCAGTACCATCAGTTCTTGGATCAACCCAGAATTCCAGCGTTCAGCTGAGAGTGGGTGCACATCATCTTAGGTATCTTCACTTGTGGTAGTTCCTCGAATACCTTGTTAGCTTACCCTCCAAAAATTACAATCTAACAGATTCGTCAAGCTACATACACCGGTTCTTCAGTTTTTTGCTATATTATGGGTTTCACTATGCTTTCCAAAACAGAAGCGAATTCCTATCGCACACGCTTTCCAAAAATGAATTCATTGAAACACCACCGTACTCTCTGCAGCATTCATGGAACTGGCTCATTCCGCTGAGGGAAATGATAGTGATAAATGTACAAACCTAACGTTTCTTTTCGTTTCTTTCTCTCTTCGGTGTGCCGCCTGATCAGTCTTTACCATACTGGTTATATCTGTAAGAAGAATGTTACACAATTCAGTTCCCCGCACCAACTTCGTACTTTTTGGTTCTTTTGCATTCCGTCCAGATTTCGGACAACGTAGCTCGCCTCTTTAAGCCAACCAAGGGTAGTTCTCACTGCTACTTGTGCTCGAAGCGTTTGTATCCGTTCGAGCGACAGGAAGCCTTCGGTCACCACTTTCATCGACACTGCTTCCGATGTTCGACATGCGGTACTCAGCTGCAACCAGACAGAGCTACTCACTTGCGAGCTGATTCTCCTTCAGCACGTGGTAAGATCCTTTTGGGATCGGCGGTTGGTTGTCTTCTTTCCTATCAGGTCTTGCATGACTGCTGGTTGATTAGTTAACTGTCGACTATGCTCATGAGTCTGGACTTCACAACAGTGCCGTTTTTGTTTGCTGTGTTGCGTTCATGTAGTCAGTCGCATGTCAGTGTATCGTAACTTCCATTGAAGTTTTCCAATGTGCGAAAATGACTAAAGATTTCAGTGGAATTACGCTACACACATAGTCAACTGTCGTCTGTTGATGGCTTGCCAGTTAGGCACCGGAAACATGCTACACCCGGACGATTTCTGCTTAAGTATGCCTCACTTTTGAATTTTGTTCCGGATTTTTGGTTGTTTTCTTGTTTCAAATCTAATTCACACTTCATGGCCAGTTTAGTCCCTATCTGGAACTGATCGTTGGCTTATGTGTATCGAATTCCGATTAGGTTTCTACGTGTTGGTTGGCCGATCAGTCTTTCATTGTGTCGAACCATGCCCGCTTGTTTTTCGCGATGGACAGAATGTTGTTTTGTAACCGAAACCGCTCCGGTTTTTCGATCGTTTGCAGTAGACCATTTTTGTCCCCGGTACATTTTTGTTACGGACCCGTGACAGAACCGAATTGCCTAAAGTATTTACGAATTCATCTCGAGGGATCGCTACTGAAATAGCGCGTGGTATAGGAATCGTCCGTCAATTTTGAGGTAATGCTTTCATGCTCGAATCTGCGCTTTCCTCTACCAGGCAGTTAGATTGCATACTTCTGAGTATCAACACGACCGGCATAGATGCTCCGACGTGTTGAAAATTTAATTAATGATTTGTGCAGATTCGGTCAAACGAGAGATTCGCGATTAAACTCCGCCACAGCAACCGCTGACAGGACCTGTAAAAAGCGTTCGTTCTAGATAACTGGAAGCATTGATGATCACCAGTCCATAGAATGAAATGTATCTCACCCCCTATCGCTCGCAAGTATCCAGTTTCCAACACTTCAGCCGTATTATAGGGCGAACTGTTAGAGCGAGTTAGACATCGTATCACAAGAAAGCCACTGGAAAATCCGTTCCAAATAGGAAGTGTTGCACTGGTGGGCTAATCTGAAGAGGTCCTACTGAGTGGTTCTTAGTCGGCCTTAAAACCTGGCCAACTTAGTGACATCCTAACTTGACCAGATAAAGCCTTTGTGTCAAAAGCGGAGACGTTGTCCAGTTGAAAACTACCGATTGTTACGAAGCCCTTCCGAAGCCTTTCACAAATAGCTTAATGAAGAGATTGCCGTCGGGTTGCCTATGATGCAGTTCAATTGCCCGCTGAACGAGAAAAAAGCAATTATGGCCGACAGTCACATTAAGGCACAAGGAAGAAGCGGCACATCGCAGTATTAACTGCGAAGATTCGTTTATTTTTTTAGTCACCAGTAGCGATGCAAAATGACCGCCAACCAAACCCACTGACCTCTGATCTACGCTATTCGCTAGAGAATGTACACAAGCCCTTCACGATTAGTATGTGCATGAAGGCAGGTTTCACGCCGCTTCAGGAATTCGGACACGTGTCCGACCTCTACGTGATTACTGTAGAGAACTTCTGGGTGCCAAACACTTTGCATTTCTGAATTACAGGCCTTCAAACATATCATAGCGTGTGCACCAACCTTTTCAGCCCAGCTTCCTGTACCTCTTCCCTTTTGGCCGCCTGATTGAACTTTAGATTTCTGTCGCAGCTACATACCAAATTGGGATGGCCTAAGTTAAAGTCAAAGCGCCTACCCTCAGTAATCTGTTCAAGTCTTCCTATTGCCGGTGAAAGGGACGACTCACATTCAGCTGGCTGACGTGACGAGTCATGAATGTTAAATCACTGGCCACGCTTGTCCCAGTGAATACACAATCACGTAAAACAATCTGAGAAAGATAACGGTGAAGATTACGGATGGTTACTCTCAGCACTCAAGCTTCGTCGGTTGTTCTGCTCCGATGGGCACGCTGTCTAGACATCCGTGGTTAGAAACCTCATATCATTATCCAGAGGGTCAGTGAATTTGGTTTTCAGGCTTAGCAACGCAGATGAATGCATTTTGTTTCACCTTCTATTAGTTGGATGCCCAGGTAAGCGACACTAACAGTAGGCGCACAGTAATTTGAGTTGGCACGACTGACTGATTCACGTGATGGTCACGCGTGTCCGTAATTCCAAAGTGCAAGCTTTTTGGCCTTGACAGGTCGCGCACGTCTCTTGTGAAAATAGCTGTAAGTCCCGATTTATTTTGTATCATGCATGTTTCATACACAGGTACTACTGGGCAGTCTATAGGCATATTTTGACGACTAGTGTAGGAGCTTCACACGTACATGTCTGACTTGTTTAGACCGTCTGATTCGACCCGTTTTTTTGTAGATGCCATTTTGGTCGTTCAAATCCTGGGTTTATTATACCACAGCTGTTCTGTCCGACTATCCAAATTATAGCTTTTATCCTTTCTTTTAGCTGGCAGATTTCGAGTGGCCACATTTCGCACAGATCTATATCATCTTTATGTGAGCCACCGTCTTCCAATCGTACGATGAAGCAGTCAACAACTTTCCTGTGTTTTATTTCTCTTCGATAGACTTGTTCTATTGTGTTGCACATTCTCCACTCCTGGCAACGACAGGTGCATGGCTTAGCACCAGGCGACGAGCCGATTCAACTGGAGTTTCGCTGGTGGACCGGCTGCGTGGTGAGTTTCAGTTGTGCTCTTGACATTCCTGTCCGTAATAGGCGATGACTGCGCATTCCACAGCACCTTTCACTACCTAGGAAAACAAAGAATAAAAGCCGGCTATGAGGTGGCCCCTCTCGTTCTGGTTACGATTATGTATTCTGTATACATATGCAGTATGTTTAATATGATTCCCCCATTCCACTTGGGTCACGCTTGTGGTCTATATTCTTCGATATAACAAATCAGTGGAAGATGAAAGGTACTCCACCCCTCCGATTTTCGCCATATTTAGATTTGTTGTATCTCTTTTTTTCCCATGAAGCCGTCTGTTTTGTCGTGTTCTGAACTGATCTGTGTGCACCGATGCTTGGCTGTGGACCTGGCCCCATAACGGTCGGAATATCCAACCTGACTAACTTGCATCCACCGATTTTCCTTCTCAACTTGCTCAAAAAATGCCCATCCAGTTTGCGAACTACACTTGTTTACGTACCGATTTGTTTCTGCTGGGAGACTCAACTACACTTCGTTTGTTCAACTGAATAAACTGGCAAAGTTCGCCTTACTCTTCATTTAGCACAATATGCGTGATATTTGCGGTTTATTTTTCTCGGTCAATATTATAGTCGAAAGGTTCATCTGGGGTTCAGATAAATCGCTCTTATAAACCACATTGGTGTGAAAATGAGTTTATTTAAGCGATTTCGCGCAATTTAGGTTCAAGTAGAACGTAAGGTGGACGGAACCTCGAGAACTGCACCTAGTTGATGAGCTCTACGGCAAGTGAAACCGGTCATGGGCTGTCGAACGGTTTTTAGCAATCTTGTGAGTAGCGTCCATTCCTTTTTTTACACAAGCTGATCAACCAATCGTATAAAAGGAAAATTGAAGTTGAAACCCGCCAATTTTTATATCTTATCCGGTCACTTTTTTCTTGCAAACTATGGGTTTCTTGCACTTAAGTTGTTCTAGGGCGATAGCAAGTTCACTCCTCTCGCCCCGTCCTCTCCTCAGCATGTCGATTGAACACGTTTTCACTAGGTTTCACTTCCCACTCACTTGTCTTTTAAATTATATTTCAACTGGGTAGCACTCATCTCGGTTGTCGTGTGTGTATTTCATGAATGTGGGTAGATGTGTTGCTACTTCTGCCCTCTCCATTAGTCCGATATTCACTCGAGATTGTTATCGATCATTGCTTGTTCTTTTCTATGTGCTTGCTTGTTAGCTGGAGAATTTCCATTTGCGAAGCCTCAAGGTTACTCTGTGACAGGGTCTGCGGAAACGGCAATCGCTGGAACTTCGGACAAATTTGTTGGTTTGTCAAACCTGGTGGGCAATACTACTTCGAAAGTAAATATGCCGCAACCCACTCCAGTGAACAAATCATCCCTACTTGCCGGCCTTAGTGATGAAGACAATGTCCTTACTGCGGTTGATGTGCGTCAACTAGTGAGAAACTTCCGAGCTAATCAGTTCAGCTCCTCATCTTCCCCATCTCCAGTTCGAAAGTCAGCTGCCCGGAAGAAGGTAGAATCCGTTGTTGGCCCTTCGGGTGACAGTTCTCCCAGAATACCTATTCGACTAAGCATCCGAGACGACGATGCCCCCGGCCCTGAGTGCTATCTTGCTGGTCATTTGGGTTTGCCAGAAGTCGAACGTAGAGCCAATTGGGAGCTAAATACCATTCCAATGTTGCCAGGAACCTCCATTCCGGATCTTCTGGAACATATGAGGTACGTGTACATGTTAACTTGTTTTCTTCTGTGCTTTTAACCGACCTCAACTTTCACACACTTCTCGTCACTTACCATGTTTTAGATTGATGCCACGCTATCGTTTGTTTTGAGTAAGCCGCCGTTCTCACACAACTCAGTCCATATATTTGGTACATTTGTAGCGATTCTCTGGGTTTGAATAGCTCGTCCTCGTTCACATTTCTGTTCTCATCCATATGTGAGACAGTTCTAACGATCCTGTTTGCTTTTTACGCTCTTCTATGTATATAAATCTTTGTTTGCACCTCGCCTGACCCTATACTGACGCGAACGCTAGCTTGTTCCACCTGGATCCTTTCACTTACATCGCTTTCATGTCTGACCATGTTCTGTGGTTGACACATTAGCTGGAGCTACTATTCTGCCGCAATCTAAACTACCGGCTTAGTTTTAGTTCATTGCGCGATCTAGCACGAGATGTGGGACCGATTCGTCACTCCACTCCACTTATGGTGAGTCCTTTCCCCGTGTGTCTGTTTGGCTGATCCAGGTACTATTTCTCATACTTCCACGCCGACCGGTATTTCAGTACCTCTTTTGGGAAGGTGCAAGGAATAGAAGACGCATTAGCAGCCAGAGATTACTTATTCCTTAACAAGATTGTCAGCACAAACTGCGAGTTTACAATAGAGCACACAGCAGCCATTCTGAAAAATCTCACCTTAGACTTCTGTAACGGCTTTCACATTTTCAAAAAGATATACAGTCCAATCTATCATTGTTATCAGACTTCTCCAGTTCTTTGTGCAGTGCTCCATCCCACAGACACGCGTTCTTCGATTCTTGATTTATAAGCGTAGGCAGGATAAAGACCCAGTGTGGCAAGCTATTCCAACGTTCTGCGTCAGTGGGCTACACGCTCTGTTCCCATAAGTAAGTTGGCCACACCCAGTCGTTGTTTTAGATCCTGTTGCTGGCCACCCTGTTTCTCCTGAGAATCAAATTCATGACTCCGTGTGCTGCCGCGCGACTCGTACCAGTAATACCGCGCACACTTGAATATATATATATATATATATATATAACCCCCCGGTACGAAAGTAACATTTTCAGCTCTTTTCTCTTCTCTGTCCGATATTAACTTGGGTCCTGTCAAGAATTCACCAAAGGATACTCATTTGCAAAAGCGAACCGTGTTAGCTGAGTGCGACGCAGATTGTTAATCCTTGAACATTGACTAGTGGTCTCTTTGTTCATCAAGCTAGGAGTGGTGTTGCACATTATAATGAGGGCATTGATCGACTGGTGACCCAAGTTTTACAAAGCAATTGTTTATTTTGTTGAACAGCTCGGTTTCTGACCAATGGATGGACAAGGATCACTAGTCCGCCAGGCAATTTTCTCGTTGATAATCGTTGGATCATTAAACTGCGTTGAGGTTGCTCTGCGGTCACCTAATATGATGAACACATCTGTCGCCTTCGAACACCACTGCAACTGTTTGTCCAAGGATCATCCTGATTGTCTTTTGCAACTCACTGACTATCCAAAGACGGAGGTGTCTAGAGAGAAGCCCGTATGTGACTCCGCGCAAATTCATCGACAATTTATCTTGGTTTATACAAATCTTCATGTTGCTCAGCTTCAATAACGCTGGGTGAATATCCGAGCGTTCCACATGAAGAACGGGCGCGGTTAATAGCACTTCGTTTCTGTAACTATTACCAAGGGTCCTCTAATCAGCCTTGTACGCACCCCAGGAATATGATGTAGAAACAAATGTTTAGTGGATTCCGGATGCACATCTCAAGCGTTTGTGTGCAGTATATACCAGGCCATGAAGTTAGGCGATTTTTTATAGGCCGTCAGGAGTACAAAGCGCCTGCGAACTTTTATTGGCATCTCAATGGAATTCTTGGTCGTTGGAAGTCGGGGTGTAAGATACAATAGTTTGGCAAGGACCCGTTAGACTTTACTTTCGCTATCACATTACACTGATCCTGTCGGGTGCCTGACTCAGTCTGCAATTTCGCCGTTTCGGCAGAGATTAGTAGTCTATATTCTGATAAACAAACACCCCAGTGCAGCGAATGAATCCACGCGACGGCTAGCGATAGCAGTTAGAAACTGGTAGTCCATTTTGGACCGGCTTGGCAGCAAGAAAACGGGCAGAAAGTTACCTCGATTCTCATCCATGGATGCGGGTATTCGTCATAAGAATCGATTGACGCTGAGGCATAAGATTTCACCTCATAAATGCTAGACACAGATATAAATTCTAAACAAGATCGCCGACTGAAATGCTTAATTCCTGGGTCCTGTAATTTCCAAACTCTTCCCATTGAGGCTCGTTGATCTTCCTCCTCGCCCGTACCAACCAGTGGGGCTAAGCATGCTTTACTCCGGTTCCTGACTACTCGACAAATTCTAGTAATTAAAATAGTAGTTCATAAATAGAATGGAGTATGTCCTGCCGGGTCTGAGGATTCTTGGTCATGCTTACTGGACGTGTTCAATTTTTTAGCTCCGTCTGTAAGTTTGTTGTAGCTGCGGCTGAGTGTTTGAAATCTGAACATTTTCTCAACCGGTCCATCTTCACTAGTTACAATTTTGGATATGACGACTGCAGAACTAAAACAGTGAATAGGGCATGTGCAATACATGCTCGGGAACCGGTCATTCAATAACTTCACTTAATAGGATTTACTGTCTTCAACTGAGTTCCATTTGGCGCATTGGAAATGGAGCGGACATCTAGTCAAGCAACGGAATCAAAGTGGGGTTCGACATAACAGGTTTAGGAAACAGAATCATAGTATGTTCATGAATGACTACTGTACACTGGGTGCGCCACGAAGCCTAATATTCCCAGCTTACTCATTGTAAGTACTTGAACTTTCTTCGCTTATCATTTTATTCGAAAGCGGTACTTTATTATCCTGTTCCTTACAGTAGCCTAACATAATCACGAACATGAAGGGCCGTTTGCCTGATCACTTCCCTCGATTTATTGGCGTAGGTTTTTCAAACCCGAAGCAACCATCATATTACACCGGTGGGGTTTTTGCTTGCTATCCGGTCATTGTGTGTTGGCCATATTTCATTTGTTGGTGCCATTGTGCAAAATCTCTTCGCATGACTACTCTGGTTTTCGAAGGAGCGCACCGGCATACAATCCGATGTTGGTTGGTCTGTCCACTTGGGGATTACACAGATGTAGAATTCCGGTGTTTGCCAGAGGTTTGGCGCTGATGGACTGGCAAATGCTCTGTCCTCCTCACTTCACGACTGGCTTGGAGACACTTTGTCTCCACTCATCATCACTGCGTTTCTGGCAGTTACCCCCTTCGTGCTCCGGTTTATGCTTTAGAGTGTATATTTAACACGTAAAATGATTGGCCGTGTGATGAAAATAACTCTCAAGCGGCCAACCACGTTAGACGTTAAAATGCCCTTTAAGAACTGCATAAGCGCGCGTATGGATATAGAACCAACTGCGAATGTTATTCTTTAAGCTCAGCAAACAAACCAACAGTCCCTAGGCCACCTACCAATGAACGCACCCGAGTTTCCAGTACTTCGACAGCGCTGACGAGAGAGATTGCTTGTTTTCTGTTGCAATCGTACAACCACCCACCAGCTAAAGTCCTTGGCGCCGTACGCGACAGACTGAGTCCTCTTTTGTATATTTGGGCTCAAGAATACTTATGCTATCTTTTAGCTCATCAAACAAGTGAATGAAGCATTTTTATTTTAGGGATCACGTTGTTTGTCGTTGCAGTGCAACTGTGTGTTCAGAAACCAATCGGTGAGGCCAATTGTTCACCCAAGGCCTTTTGTGAGACTTTTATGCTAGGCCTGATTAATTTCACCACACGAATTTACCCCATTGGTTTTTATCTATCTTGTACAGAAATGTCCGCTACAACCTCATCGGTCCCGATGACTATTTTGCGTAAGTTGGAATTTGTGAAATTTGTAGTGCTTCTCCTATCCACTCACTTCATCATGATTTTCTTTACAAAATTCGAAAAGGTGCAGGATACTTCACAGCACTTACTTGATTTTAACGAGAAACTCAGCATACTCCACTTTAGTTTCTCGTTTACGATGTCCTCCTTCAACCGAAGGTACTGCACAAATCCTCCCCAGGCTTCGGTTGACACGATATCGCAGTACATTTTCCCTCCAGAACAAACTACTCACGAAGGTCGCTGATATCTCGACAGCCCACGGTGATCTTCACCGTTATTGTGGCTTATCCCGTAGGCACGGTCCTCGAATTTCCTTAAACCTTCTAGTTTATATTCTATTCAAAAGCCGTGCCAACTTAAACATAAGGTGGCCTTTGTGCAGCACATTCAATTGAAGATTCCGTTGGCATTCAGGTGGGTCTCCTATTACCACCGACATTAGTTGCAAGCGAGTATACTTCGCTAATTGCGCACAACTTGGATTCAAGTATGTTTGATGGAACCTCTGGGACTGCACCTACCTGATAAGCCCCACGAAAAGCGACACTGGTCATTAGCTGTCGAAGAATTTTTAGCGGCCTTATTAGTAGCATGTTCCGTCAACAACGCACTATGCTATTTTCCTGACTGCTCTTACGCAGTTATTATGGTTGGGCGCTTGAGCAGTCGAACTTTTCAGTGCCTCCTAAAATAGTGATTGTTCAATTTAGCTGGCTACTTCTCGATTACTCTTAACCGAATAGTGACTTCTGGTACTTCAGGCCTTCTCGTGTTTGTACGTGGGTAATAAGGAACCAATCGCCTGACCTGGTCCCGATCGTGCGTATCATTGTACCCTTTCACTTGCGCTCCAAACTATGCCATTTGGTTTTCTTCCGTTCAAAACTTTTCAAATAACCTAGAATTATCATCGGCTACTTACGCGAATAAGTCGTAATAACGTTATTTTAAACCGCACACTGCGTTTGGTGTTTTCAGGGCACGACAATGTAGAGACACATTTCAATTTATTCTAGCGCCAAATTCTCATCCTCAAAGTATCTTTTTGAATAAAAGGTCACCGTTCGCCCTGGATTAGCCTCTTCTGGCTTTTTTGTATAAATACGGTTGTCTTACCCACACACAACTACTAACACCACTTAGTAGTGGCGGATGGTAGCCCAATCCGAATCTCACTTCCATCGGCTAACCCCGGCTCGTCGTTAGCACGGTTCTTCTCCCCCCATCGAGGGTCCCATCACCGGAATCAACCGAAGCTGTTCTTTTGCAGGCAGACTCTTCCACAGAGAACAACTGTTCATGTTAGATTTGGAGATAACATTCAACTCTCTCTTTATGCTTCTTCAAAGAAGGTTGGTCGGTGGTAGATTCCGCGGTGGATAAAAGCTTTCTGTTGTGTCTACTTCTCTAGGCTTAGTCAAAGTCACTCCTAGCTGCTTCGGCAAACTATACAGGTTTTACTGGATAGTGTGCAACTGGGTTGCCGTTGTTGATCCTAACAGTATCATCATTAACATGCTTTTTCATCTTTTCTATCCACTGAGCTATGTGCATTCACATGGGGTTTCCAAGGCGTCTGTTTTGGGAGGCCATGGTCGATGTGCACAAACAGTCCGCTTTTCACTCCGATCAGTCCTATTACATATATTTTGCATACCCGGTTAGCGTTCTGTCCAGTTATCGAATGCGTGTCATGATAAACCGTTAACGCGGTTACCATATCTGCGATTTCATTGTCAAGTACAGTTTATACAATTTCAGGTGCACTCCAGCGCGACTCAAATCTCTGACTCGGTTACTTTACTGGACTGCAACAATTAGGTGTCAGTACAGGTCATGGGAGATTCCACATAGAGTCTGTCACCAGTACGACCTTGCAATTAGGCAGACAGTCCGCGTGCACTTACGGTTTTAATGATGTAATATTCGCTGCACCCTACGTTAGTGTTCTCGTTCACCTCTTTTCCGGTTGTTTCCAGGTCTAGCGAATCGGACGAAGAATTCATGATCTCGAATGTGGGCACTGAACAATGGATTACTCCTATTAGGCATCCTCCCAAGTCCGATCGGCGAAAACGACTCCAAGTGGACAACCCACCTCTCAGGTGTTTGGCTGGCGGTGGCTCTTGCAATAACCTTCGCCAGCCATTTGATCCATCCAGTGTTAGTGATCCCACGACTGTGGTTAACAAAGTCTATTCTCCCCTCACACTCCTACCACCGTGTTCCTCCAACCCAGTTCAATCTAAACATCTAGAGGCTAAACAGCGCTTCTGCTTGGAGCCACCCAAACCTCTAACCATAGACCCGAAGCTATTCATCGGTGCGAAAAATCTCGAGCGTGTGCTAAATAGTGTTATACCTGATTGCTCCGAAACGGTGACTCCTATTGACGATATGTGTACTGTTTGCTGTCTTCCCCTCATCACTCTAGTCTCCGTTCCATTACTGCCTCAGCTGACCGTCACCCAAGTTTGGGATTTAACTGACACTGCTCCTACATACCCCACTGAAACCTATACACCTAGATTGTCGGTTACGAGTATCCATGATCCGGAGATGCAGCGATCCCGATCCGAACTTGTCCCGACTGGTACTGAGGACGTTTCAGAATCATCAGGCTTTGTTTCGAATATTGAGCCGGATCTACCTGTCGCACTAACTCCTTTTTCTCCGCTTGATGACTTCCGTGACATTGACTCCACTTCCACGGTCACTGAACGGTCCTCAACAGAGCCCACTCCTGAGCGTGAGGAGGAAATTGGCAACCGTTCGACGGTTGCACGACGGCCAGTTCAACCGATCCAACCCCATGGGGAATTATATGCGGTTCATCCTGCTTCTAATCTCCCCACTGTCAAAAATAATACCCAATCCTCCAAATCATCCACGTCTAACTCGAAGAATTCCAGCGATACCAGCAGTCTCGACTTAGACTCAATAGTTAGCATCCGGCCAAAGTGCACTGATGAAAACGATGCTGATCCAGCCATGTCAGCCCCCTGCCCCAGTGGTGCTTTGGATAAAGGTCATTCGCAAACAGAGTGTCGTGCAGTCGCGACGGACATTTCCTCTACACATCCAGCAGATGGTCACAAGCCTCCGCGCATGAAGACTTCGAAAAGAGGGCAAATAAAACGGCGTACGCGAACGCTGGATTTGAAACCTCAGGTTAAATCACTACTTTTCCAGTCCATGAGCCCACAACCCGACTTGGTCTCTAGAGAACACCCTGACATCGATTCCCAAGTTAAACCTCCCCACACTCTTATAGAATCTGCAGCAAACGAGGAAATGCTCAGAACTGCGCAGTCGGCTACCTCGTGTTCTCCGGTTCTCCATCGCTCGGTCAGCGAACCTCTCCTCCTGTGGGGATATCCCTGCGGCCTGTCGACAACCTTCTAATAAAATCAAGTCATTTTCACTCTGACCGTCGATTTGTTTCCTGACAAGTGAGTTCCGAGGATAGAATTTGGTCCAACCTATCCGTCTCTAGTGTTGATTCTGAGCGGTTTGCAATGATAAATTATCTTCAGTAGCCAAGCATTAGCCCTGTTGTCTAACAACTTTGCATATTCGCAGTAATCAAGCACAGTAGTCTTTGGTTGTCATTCTTACGCGGTCTGTTAGCAAACGTTGGTGTTTTGTGACAATAACCTTATCGGTTTCTACGAATCAACCGTCCTGCTAACCACATTTCCAATAATCAGTCACTCCCCTAGCGCTTAAAGCGATAATCAAACTCGAAATCTTCTGGTTGGATGTAGTTGTTCGTAATTTTCGGAGTCTAATAGTATTTCAATATTTTTGGTTATTCTGGTAATTGTTACGGAGATATGAAGTCAAGCCCAATTAGCTGAAAGCGTTTGGAGTTTGAGAAGTCAACTGCATGTGCACACAAATGGTTGACGATCCGTGTACTGTGGCCGGAGCCTCTCGCCTATCCCTCGCTATCCGGCAATCAAGCAACCGTTCCTGGGCTTCACAAGTGCAGGTACGCGTGATCCACCATATGGGCCGCCCAGTACACTGACCCGTAATCCAGTAAAATATCAAAGTCCGTCGGTGATCAGGTAGTACGTGTGCATGTTTGCAGCAAACTAACATGGCGGTGAACATGGTCGTACGGAATCCCGAAAGAAAAGATGCCGCGGGTCCGCATGGATACCCTCTAGAACCCCCATTAATTTTATTCCACCTACAACCGATTTACGTTGCCATAAGAAACACAGGCTACTTCATCATTTGAGTTCGCCTGTTTGCAGCGAACCACAGAGCGAGCTTTTGGGAGTTCCTTCCATTGTTCACCATTGTTAGTGCTTCACGCTTAACAGCAAGAGATCTAAAGGTCGAAGAAACTCACCATGACGGTGAGGATAGTCTAACACGACTGTACTATTTAAACAACGGGAAGGAACAGGTGAATTTATGGTAAGTCCCCATGACGGTTAAGATCTCGACACCTCAACTCAGCTGCTGCACCAGCTTATTCCGTTACCGAAGGGAAGCAGGCGCAAACACACCCAGCCGAGTTATGCAAGTGCCTAGTGCGCTATTATCGATAGTCATCTGCAGCAGGCTTTTTCCCTACGTTTCTCGGTGAAATCCATCTCACGTGGTGAAAAGCCAGTGAGTTGAATTAAAAGCCGGATACTGCGTCGAAAAACTTACTGCGCCATCCGCCACTATCGCCATTTTCCCCAAAACAAACAGTCCCCTTGCGAGAAGTGTACTCTATCATAAATTTCATTACCTTAGAGGAATATAAGCCAAATTAGCAAATTTGGTTTCTTCTCTCTTCTCTCAATTTTCCAAGCTGTCGCTTGGATCATTTCTTTAACTGAGTAGAAACAGTTGTAAATTTCGATATACATTAGACCTCGAAAATCAATAGACCACTTTTTTGTCTGACGATCCAATAACTACTTCTAGCCGCTTCCCGTAAACAATTTTCTGAGAACTCAGTAATCCACTCTAACACTGAGGAGACAGCTTCCTCTGCAAACTAACCGAATCCGTATGTTACTCTAGTGCTTATTTGGGGCGGAGAGATGAGAATTTCGCTACCCGAACTCTCGTCCTCGAATGTTGATGTGACAGGAAGCTAGTTGGACTTTGTTCGAGAGCAAACCAGCCGAATACAACGTTCGTCCAGAATCCCGCGCTCCTGTAAATGTTCTAAAGCTCTTCTGTACAACTGCGACTAAGAAGCAAAAATGGTCAATGATGGAGTATAAGACGGCTGGCTAACCGATTTTTCAGCGGGACTGAAGTTAGCTGCCCCATTTTGACTCGGATGCCAACTGGATGCAACATTTCGCCAGTGTCTTTATTCTCTAGCCCCCTTCGTGCTTAACCAGATTTGTTTGGTATAGTTAGGGTCCTTTGTGTTTCATTTGCTGACCCTGTACTTCCCAGTTTATTTCGCGTGCTAATTCTTCTTGGTGTTCTCCCGTACCGATTGGATCTTGCAAGCGTTCGCTGTCGCTGTTTTTCAATCGCTAATTCTCACCAGCACTGGGCGCTTACTCTCACTTTACTAAACTAGTTCCGTTCATGACAAATTAAGCATGATTCTGTTCGTTTCACTAATGTTGGCATGTTACCTCTGCGTTTCAGGTATACTTCAACCGGCTTCCTTTGTGATCAGATATAGCTGAATTGTTTGCCACGTGCTTTCTTCTCTCGTCATCCTGGAGAACCAGATTCTCCAACCCCTCACTTTATGATCCGCCTAATTTTTCCCATTACCACATAAACAACAGAACCTAGCTACTTTCTCTGTCCATGACTACTTATTGCTCTTTTGTAAGTTTCTAAGAGCGATACCACACAATCCGCCAACGGTTTATAGGCACGCATTTCCCATCTGCCACGTTCTCGCCAGTTGCCAAACACTTTTTGATCTTTTTCAAATATCAACCATCATGATCATCCCCCGAAGACCAGTTAATCATAAACGTGACATATAGCATTCTATTCTAGAGTGTTCACTTCTGTTTCCGCTGGTACACAGAATCGTTCTAACATCTGTGATGGAACGCTTCTTTACTTGACACCTGTTTCTGTATAGGTAGTGTTAACTTAGCTGAGACGGTATAATAGACCATACGCAGTTGACCCGTGAGATGCTTTCGGTGACTAAGGCCAATAATGTAAAACTACGAAGTCAACGAAATAGACGTTACGGTTGAAGTGCAAATGAAACGACCGGACATTCCCACGATTAGCGAGTTGTCACCAAAGCTCAGAATTTTGATATTTTCTTTTTTGGGTGACCAATGTGTTCAACAACTTACACGGTGGACTGGAACTCCAAACAACTCAAAGTAAAAAGTGGTTTAGTGGAAGCAGCACTTTATACAAACCATTTTTATCCCTGGAGATTCTTTTACTGAACCTGGTCAGAAAATCTGGAACAAACCAGTACATAGCATACGAATTTGGGGTTCAATCAAATCCTTTACCTAAGATATGTACAAAGGAGGAAGGGGGTGAAGCTGAAACATCAGAAAGTATCAAAAAATAGATCAGGGGGTGTGCACATTTGGACAAAATCTCTGTGGCATTAAGCGCCCTACGATATATACAAGAATATGTGAGTGGAATGAGCAAGCGATTTCGAATCACTAAGACAGTGATGGTTTTGCAGGTGGTGGCGACGTAGGAAGCATCCTGTTGTGATGAAACCCATAGACTATGTATCTTCCGGTTTGCAAATGAGTAAGGACTGAAAGCTTAAATGTGTGAAAGCGCGAATAGCCCGCATCCGCTGAAAGGGAAGTCACGAATGCCAGTGCGTCCGATAGTAGGTGAGGCTACGTCGAAGTTTGGGTGTCCGTGACAACACAAGCTGTATGTCTTTGATGGTGGCACGGTGAATTCTAGAGGACTGTGCAAGGGAATAGCCACCAGAGGGTGGTTCTGAGGACAGTGCGTAGGATAGATTGCTCAAGGATGTTGCAGGGAAGACGTTGGGCTGTGGGACTTCCGAACTGGCTTGGGCAACGTAAATTCCGCTTGTCGGGTTGATCACACCTAGACGGTTCGCACTAAGCAGAGATAGTCTAGTTTGACTGGAGCTGGTGCTCACGTTGTCCTGTCCGGTGGAGGGGTCGGTTATAGCAGAACCGCTAACGTCGTCCATGACATCGAAACGACGTTTACGTTGCGGTCCGATTGCATGCAACGCAGTGAGATTAGCTTGATGTTGTTTTTCGCGTTCGTAGTCCTCCGTGGCGATTCGGCGTGCCATTTCGCGCATGCGAATCTGGTCAGGGTCTTCATTCCGAGATCGTGACTAGACAATGAAACGAAAGGAAACTTGAATTTCGCACGAGTCAATATTTGGCGCAGGTAAACTGACGTTTTCAATCATCCTACTATAAGGTTGAAAAACCGACGACTTATAACTATATGTAAAAACATGAACTACAAAAGACAAAGTAATTAATTACCAGGTAGATGATGCAGATGAAAACATACAATTATACCACTAACCAGCAGTAGGTTCTAGGAAATCGGATGGACGCTAGTTAACTGGATTGGCCGTTCAATTTAACGAGTGGCCTTGAGGCGGCAGTGACCTCCAGGCGCAATTGCTTGGAAGCCTTCGTGCTGCAAGGGATAACTGTCTCCAAGTCAATTATAGTCTGCATGTGCAACTCATCATTGACAGTCTACTGCGTAAATATTGAAGGTCGTGAACATGCACGTGATAAACTGGGGAACGCTTTATGTATTTCAAACCTCGAATATTCGATTGAGCATAGATGTGCACTAGGGTGGGAGGTGGCACTCAGTACCGAGGACTCATCTTGTTCAAAGTGGTCAGTTGCTTTTGAGAATTACCTACTGCCTAGATGCACGTGACTTCCACATGCTGTTTGAATGCAGCTGCTAATACACCTTAAACCCTGGATAGGGTTTAACCGGCATCTAAAGGGCGGGCTGAGCATACTTCACAGAGAAGACCAAGCTCTGGATTCCATGGATGATTGCCGCGTTTCAGTTCGATCGCCATCGAAATTACCGCCGTTCTGTGAATGAAGCTTGGTTGCGCGAAGATTAGAAGCGCGTTTCTCGGAATTCACGCGAAACTTCGTGCATATAATCCACTTGATGTCTAGTGCCGCACAGCTTTCGTTCGAAAGTGCACCTCTGGTCAGCCTAAGGCGTAAAAGACAATGCAGAGCCGCGGGGTTCCGATGTTGCGCGCCGGGACCATTTTAGCTGTTGGGCCTTACTGCGGTTAGAATACAAACAACTGACCGAAGATGCATGGTTTGAACCCCACCCTGACTCTGGGCTTCACATTCCTGCTGCCTACGATTGGATAGATTATTTTCATCGGTTTGCGTGGCAGCTCTCGTTGAATGATTTAGCTTCAGCGATTTTACTGCGAGGTGGCGGTCTACATCCGCCGCCATCTAGTTCCGTGAACACATCAGAAAAAATTCGTAGGATGCCAAAATTAGCAAAAATACGGTAAGATGCTACTTTATCGCGATAAAGATTAGTGTGCGGCTGCCGGAGATGGCTAGAAAGATGTCTTTTCTGCTACTTATTACTCAAAGATGGGAACCAACCCCAGCAATATCCATCCATGAAAGAATACCTGTCACCTGGATGCTGTTCTAGAATAAGCCCTCGTTTATTCTGACAGTTCCCATCTACAATAACCAAGTCTACACGACAGATGAGTATTAAGCGTGGAGCTGTTTTGTAGGGATACACCTATCAACCAAAGCCGCATTTTGGGTTTATCCGAATGACTGTCAGAATCAACTTATAATGAGTTTTATGGCGCGACCACAGCAACAGGTCTCCATTCACCCTTAGGCTTCCTGAGGTTGGGATTTGGCTTCCAGTAGAAGCCAAACTGATGAAGGAACAATCGGTCCTGCTCATATATCATTTTTGCGATCATGCATTCAGCACTTTTGTCTGAGTGAGCCGGGATGAATAAGAAAAGATGATCGTTCAGTTGTAACAACCTTTCGGTTCCTAGCTGCCACGCCACCCAAAGGAAGCACGAGGGCTGGGATACTGCCAGGTTTCCCAAGCCTAGACAGGGGAAGTTGAGAGGCAGAGGCAGAACCACGGACCCTCCGGTGAGTGAATTCGCGCTCTAACTACAGGGCCATCTCGCCCCCCGAGCGGAATACCAGTAGTTGTTCCTACTTTAACACCAGCCAACGGATATATAACGCACCACTGTTTCACTAAATAGTCAGATTGAAGTGTTGAAGATCTCGGTGTGAGGTCGTCAACTTCGTAAACCGTGTATGGAGTCCGCCTGGGTAACGATTCTCGTTGGTTGTAGTTATTCGCTATTGTGTCCGAAGTGCGGCTTATGTGAAGACCACAGACCCTGGATCACCTTCCATACACAACTTGAGCAGCCGTTACCAATGCGATACCGGAAACATAATACCTAATGGGATAACGGTTATGGCGGCCTACTATGGTCCTAAAGGACAGTTAGATAAAGAGAATAGCGGCAGCTGATCTGGTTGTACAACGGGCTGCAATCGGAACCAAGCGCCTCTGTGGACAATAGGTTGTTTCACATGAATTGACTTAACGGTATTCGATAAGATGTGCTGTCGAGTAAGACGATCTGTCCAGTGAGTTGGGCAATTAACCCATTGAACGCAGATCCGTAGCATGATTTTTCGGGGCCGAATCACTCATGCGGCAAGCGAATCACACAATACACCTAATCTCTATCTGTCCAGTGAGTTGGGCAATTAACCCACTGAATGCAGATCCCTAGCATGATTTTTCAGGGCCGAATCACTCATGCGGAAAACGAATTACACCATACACCTAATCTCTGCTCATTCTGGGTAATTAAATCACCCTGTTTAAAGTCCTGTTTGCTCTCAAGATCTGGTCAAGATGCAGCCTGACTGCTTGGACTGCTGGTCAGCAGGAGCAGTCGTGTTAAAGTGATGAACGGTAATTACGCCTTAGCATAGTTGGATATTTGCCTGCATTCATTTAAACCAGAAAGGTCAAACACTCAAATGTGATCAATACGCCACACTCAGTCGGATCATCGCGATAGTCGGATTTTTCGTGTGGCATCTTAGTGGGATTCCAAGGCAAACTAGAGACAAGTCATATGTAGGGAACCAACTTCTCGTAAACTTGGGCCCTGGTCCCATACAGGTGACCTGGGTCGTAGGTTGGCTCTCACTTCTGGTGGGTTGACGGACAACTAAAAGCAGGAGATTTGCCCGTGAGGGATACATGGATTAGAGAACACTAGGAATCCAGTGAGGTCTGGTGGGTTGACGGACAACTAAAAGCAGAAGAGAGATTTGCCCGTGAGGGATACATGAAGTAGAGAACACCAGGAATCTGGTGAGAGGTGCGAGGCCGACCCAAGCAACGTGATCGATCGAGCAGATAACACTATTATTGGACTGGAGTCACCCAGGAAATGAAAACTAAGATCTATTTATATGATGATTTATAGTCGCTAGAGCAGCAACGGGTCGCCTGAACTCCCAAAGTGAGCGACCGGTGAATGTTGATCGGAACCAATGTAGTCTACGAATTCGTGGACACGGCATTCCCAGACAGCTTTTCAACATCCGGAGACGACAGAGCTGCGCGCAATTCGGAGCGTTTGTCAGACCCCACACAGAGAGGAAACCAACCCACGAAGGCAACACTCGTAATGGACAGCAGAGTAATAACAGAAATCACCAGCAAACTGGAGAACACTATGCACCACTAGCTTTATTTACTACATGGTCGAATTCATCGGCAAGCAACAGTCCCGTTGGCATCTTCCATAATCTACAGCAATCCTAATTCTGAGTAATACTCTTGGGAAACGGCAGCGGGGTTTACTCCGAAACCAAAGGGAAAGACTATGGTAAATTCCTCTCCAAATCAACGGCGAAAATGTCAGATAGTTAGATTTGGTAGCAACGGTGCTGGAAATGTATTAAGGTAGACTGTTGGTAGACCCGAACGGGCACCAAACGGTGTCCCTTCCGAGTTGATTGGGAACCTGCAGCACTAACAAGTCAAACCTAAAACACCATCACATGCTGTACTACTACCGTCCATATTTCGCTTCATTCCGATCCATACGGTGGTAGAGGTGACAATCACTTTCTAGCAGTGCACATCACACAAACGGACCCAAAACCCCTCTATTAACTGACGTTTCACCAAGGAACTATCATCATTTATCGACGACTAATCAATGCAGGCGCAATCAAGGTAGCGTAAATCTAACCATTCCTTGAACGTTCGGCAACGTTGCTTCCTGTACAAAAAATATATTGGTGATTTTCAAGCTTTCTAAGAAACAGCATTTCCGAGGGTCCACTTCTTCGTGTTCTGTCAACTATCTGCAGATTGTTTTTGAGTAACACTTTCAATTGGGAAAAAGTCCAAGCTACCGTAAACAATTGTATACGACGACGGTTGATATTCTGTCGATATGTCTGCTTAAAGATGCCTGTAAATGGCCCCTTTAGTCTAATTGAAGAGGTGTTTTACGTCATATACTATCCCCGTACGCTCACTAGAGGACATTCGGGAGTACTGCATTTTACAGACGTAGTTCCGACGCCAACTAGAGATTGGGGTCTTTATACCCGCTCCTCGAGTTCGCCAGAAGCTAAACTGGATTTGGCAGTACGGGTTCTCACCATACAGTCAATATTCAGACCACACGCGAAGACACTACCAAAACAAAAGTGTGTACGGTAGTTTAGAAAACCTATTCTAGTCAATATGGGTGGAGGGGAACCGCGCCACGCGAACCGTTACCTCACATTCAAGAATAGACAAAAATTTAAATTCGGCACGAACCCCGAAACGAATAGTGCATATTTGTATGGAGACGCTATTGCAGCCCTCAGTGAAACGGACCACATATCCAAATGTCGTGTTGAACAGATGCCGACAGCAGCGTGATTAAAACGCTGCTTTTAGGCTTCACAAATTGACAGTTGCTGGTGGAAGAGAAGTCCTCTCAGGGTAGACATGTGATCAATGCATTTAAGACTCTGACCAAGGGCTGTTCGATTTTCAAGATTCAGTCTGCTGAGGCAATATCCTATGTCTAGCCATGGAACACCTGTTTATCAGTCAGAAAGACAAACTTATTGCAATGCTTGGATTGAGATGGAGCTATTTCTTTCATCCTTTGCCACTCGTCAGGAAGTGTAACGCGTTTCGTTATGATAAAAGCTATCTTCTCGCTATCAAGCCAAACGGAAACTTGCATGTCTTGACTATACCCATCGGAAACGAGAACACAAAGAAGCAAATGGGCGATTTTAGTAGGGAAAAATAAGCAAGCGATTGATGTGAAGCAGTATTTTTACCAGAAAGCTCTTCAAAAGATTAACACCAATTCTGTTTTATAGGTGGTGGTAAACTATCTGCAGATGTAGATGGAGTGGGCGGTGACTGTTCTAAACCATGAATAAGTCCAGTCCATACAGCACTAATGAAGATTTTCATCCACCATAGGTATGTAACGACATTCGAGTATCATTGAAAGCATGACAGCGGAGGCTGGAGGGAAAGTAATAAAACCGGAAATCCTGTCTTACTTGGCCCAACGACAACCAACCTGTTGTCTGGTGAACTTATCAAAGTAATGGGCAGATAAGGCCAGTTCGATAAACGTGAAAAACAGACTGCCAGTTGTGAGTGCCTTCTTCAGTATAATCTAACTTCGAGCAAAGAGGTTAGTCGTCGATTTGGAAGCGCTCAGAAAGTTTGGTGGGTCTGCCGAGTACTCACCAAACCTTCCCGAAGCGACCGCTATTTGCGTTTTTCCGAGGCCGCAATGCTATTCGTAACCTATTATCTTTCCTTTCTGAGAACCAGTTAACTGGACGCCTATCATGGCATCACACAAATGTGACTGCTTGCTAGTCAGTCATCCTTGTAACTGTCAGTGTCGTTGGATGTGTTCATAACACGTGGTTGGAAAAGTCCTACACACGGCATGGGAAGCTTATCTGATATCAGAAATACCAGTTCATATATACGTACTACGAGAGCACCGAGAATATATACAGGCACTAGTGATTCGCAGTGTGAAGTAAATTTGGACTCCAGCCTACGAACGGTAGGTAGCTCACACAACCAGACTTTATCTTCGCTTTCTTGACGGAGAATTTCAACCCCAACCTTCAAATGTAAATTTCACGTTTATTGAAGGGACTGGTCAGACGAAACGGACATGAGCAGATACACTGCATACGGAAAGCCATAATTAGGTACATATTTCTGTATTATGTATTAACGTTGAATTCAGCACTAGTATTAAACTACCTCGACTGACGCCATAATAATTTGGATTTGTTTATTTACAAGGACACGTCAAGCTGTGATTCACTTAAATGTATCGGCAACGGTCAGGTGGTCTCAAGGTAAACAACCATGCAGGACATTGAGAAAACAATATGTGGAAACAGGCCAAGCGGACGGGCATACCTTGGCAGCTTTAAGTATAAAGTCCTTTTCCAACTCCGACTGGCGCATTCTATCATGCTCATCAAGTTTCTGCAGAAACCGAAGTTGCTCGCGCGTGCAGTCGCTTTGAACCAGCCGTGGGTCATCAGGCAGACGTTCTAATCGATGTGAAACGACTGCGCTAAGTCGGGTGAGGAGAGATCGAGCAAGTGCTTGTAACCCATGTGATAAACATACAACCGCATCCTCAGTCAAAGATAATGACGGGTCGTGATTACCTAATACAGTCCGAATTTGATGTGGAGGGAAAAAAGGTTGATCTTTGGAAGGAGACAACAAACTGGTGGAAGTTCTAACTTCATCGCCATTCAAGTCTTGTTTTCGTTCTAAGCTGCTGGTTCTGTCGAAAAGGGAAGATGAAAGGCCGGACAACTGTGAAGTTGTTCGGCTCACAGATAAGGCATTGGAATTCATAGAGGTAGGACCACTTGGAATGCCCAACTTCGGTCGTACCATGGAAGGCACACTGGATGCAGTTTTTAAAGGGGTTAAATTCACAGTAGTGGATGAGGAAATGGAAGGAGAAGGGGCCAAAACTGGTCTGAGAGTGGGATAGGATGTTCGGATAGATGTGGCAGCTGCCGTGAGTCTCGTGGTGGCCACTGTTGGGAGGGATGAGTTTGGAGTAACTGTGTTTGACGTTGAGGAAGAGACAACTGTACTCAGTGGTTGCGTTAGCCGATACTTTGGAAGTGGTCCTATGCTCGTCGTGGATAGCTGGGTCGTAGATAAGGCCAACGGGGAGAAAGACGAACGAGGAGGAGCTGGGGCCAGTAATGGAGGTTGGGTGTGTGGAGCACGTGCGGATTGGATGGTTGAAGGTACAGTACCAGCATAAGTCACGGGTGTAGGGACAGAGCTTAAGAGGGTACCTACGATGCGTGGTTGAGTACCACTTGGGGTAGACAAGCGCGTGACGGCTGGTTGAGAAACAGAACCACCAGGAACAGAGACGCTGGCATTTGGTCGAACTTGCACTGTAACTGTTCCAGGATTTGGGGTAGATAAACCACCCGTTGTCATTGGAGGAGCGGAGGAACCACATGTGTCTTTTGACAATGGTGCGGAAGGGGGAATAATGTTTGGCAAACGGCATACTCCGTTAGCTAGGTCCCTGCGAAGTGCGTCTATGTTGTCCTTGATAAATGGCCCAATGTCTGTGGAAGTATTCGCACTCTTCAAATTGACGCGCAGCTGTGTACAGAATGAGGTGGCATCCAGTTCGGCGTTCTAAAAGGAAAAAAACTAAAATGACCGAAAGTACACGAACAACGTGACAGGAAATTGAGTGGTGGAATCCCGTCCAAATAAAGTTAACTTCGTAGCATCGGGTAAACCGACAGCAAACGAAGACCATAAAGTATGTCCAAGACGTTCATAAGTTTAAACAAACTTCCTTTAACAACTACTGGACAGATATAGTGGCCACGGCGATAAAAGCAGCCCTCAAAACCTCTGGCTTTACAGAGTAGGACAAAATTGCTTCGTGCCTCAGAAAGGGTATTTCCACGTACCACAGCTTGACGAAGACTATCAAACAGTTCATTCTCAAAAACGGACCTACTGTATCGGCATCGGTAAACTGATACCCGCAATGGATTCTTGTATTTTGTCCAGTTGTCCAGTGGAACCATATTACACAGCGAAAAGTATGAATTTTAGGGAGAGACATAACCATTTTAGGAGTGAGGTGTACTAATTTTCGCCAGGAACAACGCGCACTAAACTGCCGCGTCTGGTTTAAACTTCTCCATATAACACACCACATGACGTCAATCAAATCGGTAATGTTGATCACCATGATTCTCAATTAGCCAGACTGAAAAGTGCTTCATGACATAAGGTTGACATCCTTTTCACAACGGAGACTATCAACTCAGCATCTGTCCCACTGTTCGTGAGAGACACGTGCGGGGTGATAAAGAGCAGTGGATTCTCCCGAAGGTTATTATGGTAAAACATGAATCAAACTTGAAAGGGCGAATCTCTCTAGTGGATGCGGTTCTCATTAATCCTCTGCCTGGCCAGGCTGGAGACTTCAGGAAGTGGTAGTCAGTCGATGCCAGTGACGTTCGCGCTGTGTTTTCCAGATTGTCTGATTAGGCGATTGGAGGAGGCATCACAGGATGTTTGGGATAGGCCAGGACTACGTCTCTTACTGGCCCTTTTCCTTTATTTCCTGTTTGAGGCATTAAGTATAATTAAATATACCTTGTGGTTGTACGGCGATGAAGCAACATGGTCAGCGCCGATGTTGCCATCCCTAGTGATGAGTGAATGGTAGAATCATACCTATCTAATCCTCGAAATGCCTCAGTGGTGCCGATAAACCCGAGCACAGTACGAAAGGAAATATAAGACTACGACAAGGGTTACTTCCGGCCATTGCGAGGAGGTTTGGGGCTCTTGGGCATCATCATTGTAGCGATACATTGGTTTCTACAATACTACATAGATCAATATCGGAACTGAGGTTGAGATAGCCTAGTCGTCAAGCGCGGACTTATTAACAGGAAGGTTCGTGGTTCCAATATAAACTCGATATCTCAACTGGTCCTGCCTAGACTTGGACAACCTGGCAGTAGTTAAGCTCTCGTGCTTCGTTTGAGTGACACGGCTGGCAGAAGCCGAAATGATGGTTCAACTGAACGATTATTCGTTATTGTTACTATCAGTCCTCTAGCGCCACTGCCCGTTCATTTTCATTAAAGCTTCTCGTTGGGATGCTGATCGACACTTAATAATCGCTTAGCTGTAACACCCTCTCGGAGACCAATTGTCGCGTGAACCGAAGGAAGCACGAGAGCTGGGACACTGCTCGCGTGTCCAAGCCTATATAGGAGCAGTCAAACCACGAGCCTTTCCGTCATTAAGTTCGCGCTTAACCACTGAGCTATCTCAAACTCAGTTTCGAGACCTGATCTATGTAGTACTATAAAAACTCTTCTCAGATGTATCACGTTCATCTTTCAATCAAAACCGAAACACACTATGGTTACTAGTAAAAGGAGGTGAAGGGTGGAAGCGAAGATGGCTCTGTTGAGATCGTCACCATTTCGGTGCAAGAGAAGTGAAACCAGCACCGCGGCACAGACCGGGGAAACAAGCAACTGTCGCCCATCCTCAAGTGAAACAGTCCTATTCAGAGTTTGAGTGAATTGGAAGAAAAATTTATTCAAAGTCTGACTGGTGCTCCATGACCTCCTGGTAAGAATGCGAAAACCACGGCCCCTAATCCATCTGGAGTGACCAACTTCAGCTTAGACTACGTAGATTTTGTCTCAGGTCGTTTAGGGTGGAGGTCAGCGATCAGAATACTCAAATTCAATTAACGCCCTTGAAAAAGTTAACTGTTGTGGGAAAGCGGTGTAGAACACCAGTGAAGAGTATAAAGAATTGTTACGAGATGCAATCTTTGACGTTATGAAACAAGTTTCAAAAACTTCTCATACATCGAATCCGATGACGAACCATAGGCTATGGAGCAAACAAATTAGTTATTGAACTGGACACTGAACAAGGAGCAGATATGACACTTACCACGAGTGCTTGGATCAACCGGAGAACCGCCGAATGTGTGTCCGCCGCAACGGTTTTCGATAATTCCAGTAACTGGTTTAGAAAGCCAACCAGTTTTCCCGCACCTGATGCTAATGACTGCGTCGACGCTACGCCTGGAAGTTTGGAATAAGCATCGCGAGTTTATATTCCATCAGCAGGAGGCTGAAAGAAAAACATAAAGAAGGAAAACAATAAGCTCCCGAAACCGAGTTGAACACAGAAGCACATACCAAAGTGGCCATGGTCGTAGTAATATTCGTCCGCTGAAAATGGAGCAACGGTATGCTACACTGTATGGCGAGTTAATCGTTTGGCCGACAAAGTGTCGCGCATCAATATGCAACGACAGTCACACCAGTGAGAATTACCTCACGCAATCTGGGTATATCGGTGGTGTTAGAGAACATTCAGCTATATTCCATGACTTCGCACGCTACTCGAAGTAACTCTGGGTCAATCCCATAAGCACTCATTCTCAGATATCCCACAAAACTTCTAACGCAAAAATGAGTAAGTGAAAATTCGGTCGTATCAAAGTCGGGGAGGTTCATTTACCTACATAGGCAGGTGGCGTACGGTGTGAGCATTTGAGCAGGGCAAACAGCGGACTAGATAAGGTCTTTCTAAGGTAAATCCAAAGGAAATATCGCCGAATCGTTCAATAGATAAAGCGTATCAGGACACAAATATTCATGTTCAGATTAGGGTGCTGCGGCCTTCTCAGACATGCCCAAGCTATTGGATTATTCACTGGCTACTGATAGTAGATAAGTAGCCTACTAAAAAAGAAAAGAGCCGGCCGCATTCCGTAAGAGGAGATGCCCTGGAAGTGACACTTGTCAACCGAGTGATTATGTATGGGCGTAAGTGGAAAGAAAAAGTGGAAGCAACTAAACTTGGCCTCCAAGATCAGTCTAAAACAGGTAAAGCGCAAAAATGAGTCGTCCGTTTCAACAGATAGCTGTCCATTTCAATTAAGCCATCATTGCTTACAGCTGTCGGAATTTACGTCTCAGTGATCTAGAGGCCACATTATTAGTACCGTTCCCACGCAGGTGGCACTCAAGAAACCGGGACAAGCTTCGCACACAGTTCATACGTTATGGTCTCGCAACATTATGCTGCTAGCCCACCTTTTCAACAAACGTAGGCACCTTCGATTTCATTCACCAACGGCGTCTAAAAGGTCTTTGATTCCCCAAACACATCATCTGTGACGAGGCTGCAACTACAGAATTAGTGAAATCGCTGTCTTCATTATGTTGCTCCACTGAGCACCTCACTATTCTTATTTCTAAATGTTGATGAGGGGTGAAGCTGAAACAGATGGATCATCCATTGGCTTCCGACGAATGGAGCAAATTGAGCCAGCTAATTTGTAGCTATGACTAGTCAATTGTCATTACGCAATCACCTTTCTGTCCCACCATTTCTGTTAGCCTCTTGCATATGGTATCGCTAAATTCATCATATAGCTGTTGACACCAAGTGAAAAGCGTATTCTTACATTTGAACATCCCGGTAGCGCTTTAACAAATTTTATTCTGCCATTCACACTCGGCTACTGGACACTTAATATTGTCGTTTTATCTGGTCTGTTGACCTTCAGTACACAAGTATGCGGTGCCTGTACAATGAGACCCAACAATGAAGCGCAATTTAAAAAGCTTGTCCGAAAAAACTAGGGACGATCGTTGCTCCATCAGCTATTTTCAGCAGAGAACCACCATGCCTGAGAAAACCAAGTGGCAATGTGGATGAGTACATGAGGCGATAGCTAACCTTAGTACAAATACGTAAGGCGCTTTTCTGTGTAAATGGTTCGTCACAATGCTGTGCAAAAAAACAGTTCAACCAAACAGCAGCCCAAATTGAAGTCAAAGACTTTAAGAATGTAGGTACTCATCCAGTTTGATTGAGGCACATGCATCGCAACGTGCAAGTTCATGCCTCGGAATGTGTACTCTCAGAAAATGTCCTCTTGCAATTCAAACAGGACAAGGAATTTCGGATGGCTTACGTACCTCGGTCGTTGTACCAACTTTGACGGAAGTACCTGATGGGGTTGGCTCATGAATCTCGACCGTCCGGATCAATTCGTGTCAATTCGTAGAAGAGGCATGACAGTTTATCCACAAAGCAGTGATGTCCGAAGTTATGCGAAGGGTGCCGAACACAATCAACATTAGTGGCTTTCCAGTATTCATACAGTTAAAGAGTGACCTCTCGGTCAAAAGGACTACAGTGTACGCACAAAACGACTGCACCATGGTCTCAAGAGAGCATACAGCCAGTGGACCACATATCGAAATTGGCATGCAACAGAAGAGTGCTCGAACCACCAAGAAATCCTGACAAATACCAGGCGCCCTCAAGGGCTGTACTTAACACAGGACATAACATAATTCGAAAATGAAATCTTTTAGCTGTAACTACGGAATCACACCATAAAAACGGATGCGCGATCAAAAGGCACTCCAATGTAAATAGAACGCAAGACGTAGGGGATGGTAAGCACATGGAGATAGGTTTTAGATAGTCCAAAATGACGATTGGAGATGTGCGAGTACCGTCAAGAATAGTCGCTAGAGAAGTATTCGAGATTTAGGAAGCTTGAGCCGTCCAAAATTCATGCAATACTGTCAGGTTGTCCAGGGCTAGACAGAAACAATCGAGAAACTGAGGTTGGGTCTGAATCAAAAACCTTCCGGTCCGTAAGTTGGCGCCTTAACCACTGAGCTATCTCGGGCTCCTTCAAGATAAAGGCTACGGTCGAAACCCCTGATCGGTCCCATATCCACACTTGACGCATTTGCACTACTTCTGACATGACAGAGTCTCAGCTCAGTTCCCTGTCTGATCCTCCCATATTGACGCCTTCAGGAGAAGAACCTTCAATGATCCCGAAATTGGTCAAAAACCCATGTACATCTCAGCTAATTTAACGTGCATGTAAAGAAAACACTGGAAATCCTGAAGACTTCTGGACGCTTCATCGGCGACCAACACTCATCAGACATTGGAGCACGACTGATCATTGGATACACATCTCCGGTCAGTTAGAGCTCATTTTGAGGCTGGATCGCGTCTGACTAACCAAGCTTAATGGTTGCGGTGGTGCCTAACTGCGAGCTGTAAGAGGATTTCGGCGTAGAGTTCCGACTAATAGGTCCATAATACATCCCCTGACTTTGAAGTCAGGGGTGGACTGGCAGTTACCGGCCTGGGTTGGAGATAATGTACGTCCAGCGTCGCGATCGTAGTGCTTGTTTAGGTTCGGCCTCTAACGGAGTTACCGCAGTGGATCCAAGATCAAAGGTGTCCAGAAGCACTTCTAGATTCAGCGAGAGGATATGTGAATGCATCGGTAGAATTTGGTTTGCGTGTCGGATCCAGTGAGCTGGGCCAACTGGAATCATGTACAGCAGTCTACCGTGCCGGGGAAAGATGTACACTTAGTTGTAGATCAGGTGGTGGTTGACCTGTTAGCTGAGCTTGACAATATGCTTGCAAACGTTTCGTCACCAACCGTGAAGATATCGTTCGTTCAGCTATAGCACCCTTTCGGTGCCTAACTGCCATACAACCCGAAGGAAGCAAGACGTTTGGAATTCTGCCAGGTTGTCCAAGCCTAGAAAGGGGAATTCGAGAGGCAGTGGTCGGATTCTCGAACGACGGACCTTCCGGTCAGTAATTTCACGCTCTAACCACTGAGCTAGCTTGCCCCCGTGGAGATATAACCAGTGAGTGGTTGGGTGGGTCACCCAACGATGACTCATTGACACGCAAGGAACACTGAATCTGATAAACAAAGTTTTCGTTTGTTTGAAAATCAGTCTATAGGTCGAGTGATGGCCTAGAGAAGGCTTAGGAGAGAAGACGTTTGGTATATATTTAATCAGGACGTTCAGGACCCATCGATCCAGATTAGCAGCGAAACTACCCTTGCTCAGATCATAACACTTCAAAGGAGCAATGAATAAAGGGTTTGAACAGGTACCTACATCGTGGTTCGAAATGACTTCGTCTTGCCACTATATAACCACAAAAATGCGATTACACGAGAAAACGAAGAACAACATACGTTAGAATGATCAACTGAAGTGCACGTTCCCGTTCAAACAAAAGTGGCATATTCGGATGCATTTAAGTGGTTCGGAAGCCATGCTCACTTTTGATGGGTAGGGTAGTCACACACCGTACTAACAGGGGAACAAGTCGGTTTCACTAAACTAAGCACTATATGGACCGAAACTCTCTGAAAATACTTCCAACGGAGATCTCTCTTTGATGTCACGTTTAATCAGTATCTTGAAGCATCTTCCAACCTTTAGATTCCTCTACCCTGAATATAACACTTCTGATCTCTCTAGAAGGGGATGAGTATCACTTTGTGGCCAGAGCCTACTGTAGCGGGTAGAACTGTAGGAGCATCTCAAAGAACATGGATTTATCAAGGCCTGGGATGAGAACAGGAGTCCTCGGGAAGCGTGAAGAGCACGGTAGCAGCCGAGTTGAATGTGAACGAATGAACCACTATGACAAACAGAGAAACCCACGTGAAACCCTAGGTAATCGTAAATACCTGCGCATATCCGTTGATCGGAACAACTCCGAAATGTTTACCAAACTGCCAAAATATACACCGACTACGAAGGATAATATATAAAAAAGAAACTCACGCGGCAAAATGGGTGTGTTCGTCAGTATTCCGTTAGCAGGTGAGACGGTTTGACCAGACCCAGCACTGCGGACATGCATTACGTTGGGTGAATTAGTCAGCCCCGATCTTGGTACAAGGTAGACGGGATTCACCATCGGTGACCGTGTAAACTGTATGAAAAGTGGATAATTTATGTTGAACGGCAACGCCCCTGTCCACAAACGGGTTAAAAAATGTAACATTCCTTTGAAAGACACCAAATAGAGCAACAGCTAGTTTGTGCGCTTCCCCCCTATGCACATCGTAACGTATTGGCGCTAAATTACGAACTGAGTCTGAACGGTCTGCAAAGATATACAGCACACACCCCAAAAGTCCACAGGAGTGGCACTAAAATGACATGTGATGGAAATCTGACGTCAACATCGATGGTCGGAAGGACTGTCACAATTGGGTAAAATCAAGTTTCGTTACACAACAAGTTAAAGCGGTGAGTCTACCTAACTTCGGGACACGCAACAGCATTTGATGGGTTTTTTTGCATTCCATCCGAGGTTCGGTTCAACTTCCTTATCGTTGGCGTGCTACCTATGCCATCGGTAGACCTCTTCCAAGACAGACTGTGTTTCGACAATGAGTAGAAAATTGTTGCTTTTTTCTACATTCCGACTTAGGGATGTCTTGGGCCCATCCTTGGGTGTCATGTACATGCAACCTGAACACCCTGGTGACCAGTGAGGCCGAAAGGTATGGGAACACAATGGCATACGTACATAGGGTGCAGTCGGTAGATTTCGTACTAGTTTATAACCTAGGTAAAATTACACTGATATGACCCAAACAGAGTGAAACTCGTCGTGTACTGTCAATATGAAAATTCTGGCTACAGAGCTGACAAAAGTGATACATGAGAATGGGTAGCTGTAGTAACGTTAATACAGTAGCTATTAGGTAATAAAAGAGCATGGGATAAGTAAGACAAGTGTCAACCGATTCGAACATCAGATTCGAGGCACCATTCTCCTATAGTTAAGAATTTCCGTTCAAACTTTAAATCACTCACAGCTGACAATAAGTGACGAAAACTTTTAAAATAGCATTAAACTGTCATGCCACATCGGACGTCAAGTAATAACAGCCAGGTCGCCCTACTTGTTGAATACCGTAAAGTGGATAAGCGGAAATAGGATATTGCTGAAGCCTCCTTTCTAATTCATATACGTTTTCTTCCCAACTTCCCACCCCATACACTTTGTGGAAGTAAAGCACATGCCGAAAGACAGGAAAACTCGATCAATTTATTCAAAACACCTGCGCCTTCTCTTTGAAGGCGAGGAAAGTGTAATTTGCATACTCCAGACCAATGTTTTCGTTTGATGCTAGCAGAACACCGGGATATTGAAGACCTTCCAGTGTTCGTGTCATTACCTCATCGATCACGAAATTATATAAGAATTAAGGGAGTGAGCATCCTTAGCGGATAACACTTTGTGTGCGTCACGAAGAGACTAGACCTTACCGTGGTGTGGCGGTTTGTGTACCTCGGAGACCCATTGAGCTATACTGGGGGGTGTTCACGCGACATTCACAGAGTCTGACAAACACACTCTCCTTGCCCTCCAGGTTGGGGGTTGGAACATGTGGCGGCTTGTTCTGTAGAAATGGTAATACATTTGCATTTCCCGCCAAACACCGCTGCCTTGCGGTTAGGCTTTTGAGAAAAAGGCTTTGGTTGAGGACTCTAATCGTCCTCCTGTCTAGGTGTGGGCGTCCTGGCAGTATCCCCATTCACGACTAACAATACTCTCATACCACATCGGCCGTCGCGTGGTGTCATCAGCCGGGTCGCCTTACTTGCTGCATACAGCAGCCTAGGTAAGCGATAACATGTTACTGCTGACGCCTCCCTTCTTACACTTTCACGTTTTCCGTTTTCCACCCTGCCCAGTCCAAATTTGAATACTTTCTTCGCAGGTCCCAGCTCTAGGACTGACCGTTTTGCTCGCCCTGCGTCACACACAGCAGCAGCTTCTGCAAGTCCGCCGTCCACCGAGACGAGTTTTGTTTTTTTCGTGCCTCCTTCAGGTGGCGAAAACCGCGAGGTGGACAGCACATGATTCGGCAGAAAGGTGAAAGAGATCACGAAGGGTTTGTGTGTTGTTGGTGTTGTACGCCTTCCTGATGGGGTCCCCGTGACCCCGTCTGTGCTTGGCTGGAGACGTTGCAAGAGATGGCGGCTAATCGATTTCAGTGGCGTCCGTGCTGTCAGTTTATTTCCAGATTGTCTGATTGAGCGGTTGGAGGTATACGCACCTCAGAATGCTTGATATAGGCCAGCACTAGGTCCCCTAGCTCACCCACTCTCTCTGGATAACCGACTCGAATGGACTTTGGAAATCCAGAAACACTAAAATAGTGGGTCGTCTGTACGTATGACATTGTTCTGAAAGTGTGAACGTCTGGTCAATGCGACCCCTACCAGACCGGATTCCCGCTTGTTGCTGTCGAGTTTGTTTTTCATGAGCCATTATGAGGCAATGGAGGACGGTTGACACTAGGGTCCAAGCTGATCCCCCTGCGGTTGCCACACTCACTACGAGTCCCTTTTATGAAAATGGGCATTATCATCGACTCTTCCCAGTTGTCTAGAACAGTCTCCTTTTACCAAATGCACGTAAACATATCAGACAAGCGCTGAACGAAGACTTCACCCTCATTTTTGAGCAATGCGGGTGGGAGATCACCCGGAGGACAAACTCGGTGGCGCTTGAGAAAACATATGCAGTCATAAACCGCCGAGGCCGTAGGGGGTTTCGCGCTCACCATCCAGGGTTCAACATCAGCTGTAGGCTCCAGATGAATGGAGGCTGCTGGCTACGATAATCATTGTTCGAAGTAATCGCCCCAACGGTCAAGACATTCTTCTTTATTCGAGATTGATATGTCATCACCATCATCATCATCATCGACAGCGTGACATCAGTGTTCAACACCGATGCTTCACTGCCGTACAACCATGATTTATTTGAAGGCCTTATTGTAAAGAAAAGAGTAAATGTGGACGGGGAAGGAACTTAGTGCTAGCTTACCACAATCATTCCGAGGTGCCTACACCTCCAGACATTCACTCAGGCAATCTGAATAGAAACTGACAACAAGAACGCCACTGACATCGGTTGGCAGCCATATCTTGTAGTGTCTCCAACCAGGCACAGTGGGGATCACGCGGTCCCCATCCTGGAAGGCGAGTAGCACCGACAGCACCCAAGCGTTTCGTGATCTCCTTCATACTCCTCTGCCAAGTCAAGGGTTGGCCACCTCTCTGTTTACGCCACTTCGAATTGGGCATGGAAAACAGCACTCCCTTCGGCAAACGATGGTTCGGCATACGTAACACATGTCCCAACCAACGCAGCTTCTGGTGCTGGACACATTCTTCAATGGAAGTACCCGTTACACAACCGAAAACACACTTTCTAACTGCCTTGTTACGGATTCGCCGACACCAACCCACACGAGCTATGGTTCTGAGACAACGATTGTCGAACACCTGAAGGCGTCTCAGTTCCGCTGCTCGAATAGGCCAAGTCTCACAACCATACAACAAAACAGCCCGTACTGTAGCTTGATACACACGTCCCTTAAG